GGTGTCTGCTGGTTTGCTCCATGACAATCTTATTTGAACTGTACTCGCGGTCTTCTGGAAGAAACATAAAACTATGGCTCTACACGGCAAGGAATAAGCTGGCACTGACATAGGTTTTTAGGTATCTTGTGTGGAGGGGTTTTGTTTTCAGTATGTTATCTGCTTCTTAGGGATGGGAGAGGCTGGAGATTGAACTTTATAGATGTACAAGGATGAAGGCACTTTAGGGATTTTGCTGCTTATAGAAGTCAGAGAAGCAAGCTGTGTTCTTTTTCATTTAGCTTTATGAAACTTGTAATTAAATGTGAATAGCAAATCACTGACCATAGAAGATACACTTCCTCTTCCCCTTCTCCCTACTTTTGCCAAGCCAATGTTTGCATTTGGCTTGGTAAACACTGTTTTTGCTTATAAATATAATATTAAGTCTGTCAGGTTAGCTGTGATTAATTATTAGCCAAAGAGTGACGGAAAAGAAAGCAGAGGCTCGGGACCAAGATGAGTAGAGTTCTGAATAGTTGGAGATAGTAAACCCAGAAGGAAGATTATGCCTCTACATGTTGCTCACAGAGCAAGCTCTGACGCAGATATGGGTGGTTTGATGTCCTGCTGTGTTTGCATTTTGAATTGAGAGCCTCCCATAACTTTGCACAAGAGTGTGCTTAGGTGATGTTTGAACAGGAAATTGTAATGTACAGAACACCTCAATTCTGAATAAAAAGGAAATGAATCACAGGTTCATCGTCATTCTTGTGTTACCAGCTCAATCGCGTGTCAAGCCCCCAGGCCCTGCAGTTCCCTTTGATAATAAACACACAGACTCAAATTTTAAGGTTTATGGGATAAAATAGGCCACAACTTTATCAGTTACAGATGTGAGCAGTTTGGCTTCGGCATTGGGTGAAGCCAGACTATATCTCATCTCCCGCCTGTCTGCAGGGAGTCCAACTAAGGGTAAACCACCAGTAGGAGGAGCCCTGTGACTTACATCAGATGAGGGGTCCCTGTTGGGGTTGTGGCATGGCCCTAGCCCACACCCAGGCATCGGACAGGATCCACACCCACACACCCCAGATCCCTTTAACAGGATGCCCTTATTGAGGAGGGGCAAGCGGAGGCTACAACCTCCCCACCATTAAACAAAGGCTTACCCAATGCCTCACCGCCACTCGAGCCCAAATGGCTTGCTGCCAACACCTTCACGCCTGCAGCCAATCTCTGATGCCATCTTCAGTATCATTCACCTGGGTATTATTTCCAACATCAGAGAGATGAATGCCATTGGAACAAAGCCTCCTGGTTGAAAGTGGTGGCAGGGTGTTGTATCACATGGCCATTCAAATGCTGCATCTTCTGTGCGACTGCACGGTTAGCTTTCTAGCACTATTGATTGCTACCAGGTAAGGACAGTCACACCAACAATGCCTCTCCAAAACCTGGGACCAGAATAAGGTTAAGTCTGGGTATAGGGCAGCAAGCTTGTCAAAGTCCTCTTTGAAGTTCCAGGTTAGGTCAGTGCCCTTCCTTAGAACCAAGTCATTCTCCCCCAGCTGAACAACCAATGCATCAGGGGGCCCATGCAGTGCAGCCCTGGCCATCACAATGGGCATGAATTCATGTCATATCACATCAACATTCTTTGGGAGCCCCAGGCTGTTTCCCCTGCCAGTAGCGATGGCAAACATGTGGGCCCAATGGGCTATGCTGTGTCCCACTAACCAGATATTGATCGCAGGGGTGCCTGAAAATGAAAGAGCGACAGGCTGTGGTTATTGAGGTTTTCTTCCAGATGTATCTTCTGTTGGCATTAGATCTCCAACAGCCTATATCCTTAATCCTGTCTGTGGGGAGGTCCAAATCCTAAAGGAGTTGTTTATGCTGTAGTAGTTCTTTTAATCCGACTGATCATTCTTGTGCCGTGAGCCAACGTCAAAAACATCTTTGTGACCTTGTATGTGAAAGTGATCACACAAAATGAAACATCAAAAACATTTTGTTACTTTTGCCCTAGTCAATTCAAGGTTACATGTGAAAATTCATTTGAAAGAATCAACACTGTATTCTGACCTTAGTTAAAGATTGAAAAGAGTTCTGAATGTTGAAAATGTGGTAAGAGTTGATAAATAACTACTACACCAAGCCTTCACTTCAGAGAAGAAACACATTTTATTAGTTTTGCTATTAGCAACATTCCTTTAAAATGTGTAAAAAATGCTTTGCTGGATCAGACCAAAGTCCTGTTCTAGTCCAGCATCCTTTTTTAAAAAAACCCACACACAATCTTTTTACTGATTTTCAATTTTTAACGAATTATACCAAATTAATACAATTTAAACCATTTCCCCATAAAACTGCCTCCCATGTCCATTCTTTGATGTGTCCATAAATTCATCTTATGGCTGCTTCAGAATCCCATTCTCTCTTTAAAACTCCACATTCCCAATAATTCTCTTATTTTTACAATGGTTTTTAATTTTTATTATTTATAAAACTTTATTCACCAACTATCCATTTTTCAATTCCTGCATGTATATTAGTTAAACATTTTTTTCTTTATGTGTGCATGCATATTGCTTTCAATCCATGATTATATCAAATTTAATTATTAATCATCCAGTCCACTTTGTCAAACTCCTTCCATTCACAAGCCTCTTTCAATAACTGTCCATGTTTTGATTTTTGCCATAAACCAGTCCTTCTCCAACTTGTCTCAGAAGATCTGCTGCCAGCCAGAGCCTCAGGAATCTCAAGGTCACACATCTGACTCCACTCACAGAGGAGGAGATCATATTTCCTTAGATAGCTATTCCACTCTCTTCCTCTCCTCCTTACAATCCGAATCACAGTCGGAGATTCCCCCACTAGACCATTTACAGCTTTTCCCTGAGAGCTCCTCCTGCTCTCAACAGACCTGATAATCCTCCATCAGCATTGAAAATTGTAATCTGCACCTTTAGGTATTTATAACATTGTCATTTACATTGCATCTTTAGATGTTATAGTCTTTCAAAGTCCCATGAAGTCAGTTAGAGGTGGGTTATTCTTCTCCCCACAACTCCAACACCAACCCCCTTCTTCACCGTCTCAAAGCAATTACCAAAGTAGCTAAAATCTTCACACACCCAGTTTTAGCTCACAAACGTCCAGCCTCATAAATCTCTTTTAATGAACCTTACTTAAAGTGGGGGTTTTTTAAGCCAGAGAAGGTAGATTTTAACCCTCATATATAGTAGTAGTAAAAAATAATAATAATAACACTACCTCTCTTTTATCCATTCTCTGCTATGGCAGGAATTGTAAACCAGACCTTATTCCTTCCATTTGATAGTTGAATTAAAATGGCATCTTGTTAGTAACATCTTGAATGGACCACTCCATTGACATCCCCTTTTAAAGTTAAGTTGGCCACCACCAAAACTTGTTTAACTCTCTCCATCAGCCACTCAGACAATCCCCTCTGATGCATTGTTAGATCATGGTCTCTTTCTCTGAAGTTGGTTACATGTGCATCAAGAGCTTGAAACAGGACCTTTGTGTCAGGCAATGACCCACCACTCTGTGGGTTGGGTTGATACAGACCTGTTGGTTGATACAGAAGTGATCCTAGCCAGCCAGGTCTGCCAGAAGGCACTTAGATGCTCTGCATTCAGTTGGTCTGGGTGACTGGCTGCTGAGGCAAGCAAAGCGGGTGTCTGTCTGCCATGGCTGACTTCTTGCCAGCAATATTGCAAATAATGTGCCCCTTCCCAAGTAAAGAAAAAATAGACTTTGCACCACCGGGCACCTGGCAGTGATTATACACAGGTCTCTTTCCACCATTGTGGTTGACATGAAGTGGAGCACTGTTTTAATTTTAGATACTGGTATATAAAAATAGCCTTCTACCTGATTGGAGAATTGAGTCCCCCACCCCTGGCAAAGTAAGTGCTTTGATGAGTTAAGCAGGTCATATACAAAATTACAATTTGCATTCACATAGATGAACTTAAGTGCTATTCTTCTTAAATAAGTTTAAAATAGCTGTCTGTGTGTGTCGTTCTGCCTTGCCGTATAGGTAATAATAGAATGTGAGACACACACTAATCCCCCCCTCCCCGTTGCCCATAATAACCTTAATTGTTAACGTGTAGAGCTATTAGTCATTCCGCACTGAAAATGAGTAATTAGATCTCTTGGAATAAATTTGGGTTCCCAGCCAAAACCATGTCAGTGCAATAAACCTTACACATTGGGCAAAGTAAAGGCTTTGGGGGGGGGGCTTTCTGGTTTTACTTTCCTTGTTGCTATATTGATACTGCTATTGATCCTATATATACGTTTCATCACTTCACTCCCGTTTAATATGTAAATGATTATATTGTTTTGCTGCTGCTTTTTATTGCTTTAGGGTATAATTTGTAAGTCATTTGAATACCGTTCTATAGAAAACAAGCTTTAAAATATTTTAAGCAAAGGCAGCTAGATACAGTACAGTTGACTGAAATGTGTTATCCCACTTCATTACAACTGGGTGTTTTTCTTCAGGTTGGTGCTTCAGTTTGTAAATGCCCCCAAATCCATTCTGTTTATCTCAAGTGGTCGGCCACTGTGAAAACAAGAGCGTAGAACTCGGTGGGCCTTTGGTCTGATCCAGCAGCTTCAGGGCTCTTCTTGTGTCACGTAGGCAATGATTTACACATCTCCAGTAGGAGAAACAGATAAAGTTCCCCAACTACAAAAATACTAACAATTTTACTTTAAGGAAGCATGCTTTATTCTATTAGAACGCACAAAACCACAAAGCGTGGTATTGTATTGTGACGTTGTTGGATACTCAATGATTTCTAAGGCAGCAGCCATAAACTCTGCATGTAATAATAATAATAATAATAATAATAATAATAATAATAATAATAAGTTTATACCCCACCCACCCGGCTGGGTTTCCCCAGCCACTCTGGGTGGCTCTGCCATTCTGCTGGCAGTAAGTCCTGACTTCTTTCTTCTTCTCTCCTCTACAGTTTGCCAAGGAACCAGCAACAAGCTAACACAGCTTTCAAGTGTGGATGAGCACTACAATAGTCTGAAGAGAATGTATGAAGGCTGCGAGGTGGTGCTTGGCAATCTAGAAATCACTCACGTGAATCACACCTATAACCTTACTTTCTTGAGGGTTAGTGCAATGAGTCATGTTTCTCTGGTTCAGATGAAGTTGAGAAGAAAAATGAATGCATGTTGTATCTTTGCAAGTTTGACTGGGGTCATGTACCACCGGTATACCATTTTCATAATGTTTTCTTTTAAGGCACTACATGCCGTGAATTTCATACCGGTGGTCCATAACCTTTCCCAGTCTTCGAACATAATGTTGTACCCAATGTCTTGTGCCCATTTTATCATAGCTGATTTAACTGTCTCATCTTGAGTATTCCATTTAAGCAACAAGTTATACATTCTTGAAAGCACTTTCGTCTTAGGTTCAAGTAGTTCTGTCTCTAGTTTTGATTTTTCCACCTGGAAACCAACTTTTTTATCCTTTTTAAAGATCTCTAAAATTTGGGCGTAGTGAAACCAGTCTCGCACCTTTCCCTTCAACTTTTCAAAACTCTGCAACCTCCACGTGTCACCAACTCTCTCTATTATCTCAGAGTATTTTGCCCAGCCACCCTCCATGTTAAGTAGTTTTATGGCCTTAGCCTCCATTGGTGATAACCACCTCGGGGTCTTACTTTCAAATAAGTCTTTATATTTGGTCCAGACAATGAATAAAGCTTTCCTGACAATATGGTTTTTGAACAACTTGTGAAACTTTATCTTGTCGTACCACAAGTATGCATGCCACCCAAAAGCATTGTTAAACCCTTCCAGATCTAGGACATCAGTGTTTTCTAATAAAAACCAATCCTTCATCCAGCAGAAGGATGCAGCTTCATAATACAATCTTAAGTCCGGCAGGGCAAATCCCCCTCTTTCCTTTGCATCTGTTAGTATTTTAAATTTTATTCGGGGCTTTTTGCCCTGCCAGACAAACTTCGTGATGTCCCTCTGCCACTTTCCAAAACACTCCACTCTGTCCACGATCTGAAGGGTTTGAAACAGAAACAACATTCTTGGCAGTACATTCATCTTGACTGCTGCAATTCTTCCCAACAAGGAAAGTTTCAGTCTTGACCAAGTTTCTAAGTCCTTTTTAATTTCAGACCAACATTTTTCATAATTATCTTTAAACAAATTCAAATTTTTCCCAGTCAAGTTGACCCCCAGGTATTTCACTTTTGTGACCACATTTAGTTCCGTTTCTTTCTGAAACCCCTCTATTTCTGAAGTTGTCAGGTTTTTTGCCAGGACCTTGGTTTTTTGTTTGTTCAATTTGAATCCCGCCACCCGACCAAACTCAGAGATTAATTCTAAAGCTCTTTTTGTACTGGGTTCTGGCTCCTGTAATGTCAAAACTAAATCATCTGCGAAAGCCTTCAGTTTATATTGTTTTCCTCCGACCTGTATTCCTTCCACCCGCTGATCCTTCCTAATCATGTTCAGCAACACCTCCAGGACAGAGATAAATAGCAAGGGTGATAAGGGGCACCCCTGTCGTGTCCCTTTTTCAATTTTGAACTCCTCTGTCACCACATTATTTACTATCAATTTGGCTTTTTGTTCTGAATAGATTGCTTCAATACTATTTTGGAACGCCCTACCCACTCCCATCCCTTCCAAGTTTTTCTTCATAAATTTCCAAGATATATTATCAAAGGCCTTCTCCGCATCTATGAAAATCAAAACTGCTTTCGTATTCGCATTTGACTGTAGTAACTCCAAAACATCAACGATATTCCTGGTGTTGTCAGACAGATGCCTGCCAGGGAGAAAGCCAGCTTGGTCTTTATGAATTATTTCATTTAATACTTTTTTCAGTCTATTTGCCAAAATATCAGCAAAAATTTTGTAATCCACATTTAGGAGTGAGATGGGTCGGTAGTTCTTAAGTTGAGTCTTTTCAATGAATGCATGTTGTAACCTAAGGAAGCAGCAACGTACACCTTAGTCAGCAACTAGGTTTGGTTTGGTTTTTTTGAGGAGGCACTTTGTCAAAGACCAAATTCCTCCTCCTAAAATATCATCCTGCCACATCCTGTTGTCATATGAACTGCTTGTTCACACCACTCTCTTGCTTTTGGAATAAGCAGCTGGAGTCTCTGAGTAATAAAGGAAGGGCAGGTTGGAGGGTCTTTCTAGGAGTAAGCCCCAAACACACACATTTTTGCTGTGCGTGCCAAGGATTCCAGCTATTGGGAATTGTTGTACTTCAAACAAACTAATACTTTACACAGAAGGCCTAGAAACTCCTGGGCTGATGTGTACATACACGTATGTTTTCTATTTGCTGTTGGCAAAATAAGCTCCCCTGGAATAATTTGGCTTGTTCCAACTCGTGCATTTAGCACTAAACCGTAATCTGTTTTACAATGTTATGTGAGTACAGAAGACATTTTATAGTCTTCATTTGTACTGTTGAATAACATCAAAATACTTTTATAGACAACCCACCAAACGCAAATGAAATAAAGCTACAAATTGTAAGATGTGTAAAAGCCCCCTGATAAAAACTGCATTAAAAAGGAACATGTAAAGCTGACTCCTCCTTAATTATTATAATCTATTACTTTCTGGATCTACCCTCTGAAAGCTTGAAGCATGCAAAGTTTTCATATATGTATTTATATCATGTTTATTATGATTACTTGACTCACCACTGTGAGTAGCAAGAAAAATCGGATATAAATTTGGATAAGATGGATGAAAGATTTCTTTCACTTCTGGTACGCAGTTTACAGAGTGTTCTTCCCAAGAAGAGCCTATATTAGCATAACTTAGCCACAAAGTTAGGGCTCTTCTTTTAGTGATATGCCAAGGTGTTGTAATGATTAGCTGTGACCAGATGTTTTTATTAGTTGTGGCTATATCTGGGTTTGTAGAATCATTAATCCCTGATCTTGTGACTGCTTTACTGCTTACTGACTTCAGTTAGCATTTTGTTGGTTCTATCATTCATTGTGTGTCAAGGCTTCGTGACCACCCCGTTCTCTGAGGGTTAAAAACTATACAGTACACAGTATGTTTGTTTTATGGGATCAAATAAGGCCACAACTTTATTGGTTACAGGTGTCTAGGTTTGGCCATAGGCATTGAGGTAAGCCACTGTGAATATCACTCCAGCCTGTCTGCTGGCAGTGTCTCTAAGGGAGAAGCCAGCCGACAGGGGAACGAACGCCCTATGACCTACGTCAAATCTGGCCATCCCCAAGTGGGTTCTGTTGGTGGAGTGGAATGGCCCTGGCCCCCGTCTGGGTATTTGACAGGAGCTATTCCTGCAGGACGCGGGTGGCGCTGTGGGTAAAAGCCTCAGCGCCTAGGGCTTGCCGATCGAAAGGTCGGCGGTTCGAATCCCCGCGGCGGGGTTGCGCTCCCGCTGCTCGGTCCCAGCGCCTGCCAACCTAGCAGTTCGAAAGCACCCCCGGGTGCAAGTAGATAATAGGGACCGCTTACCAGCGGGAAGGTAAACGGCGTTCCGTGTGCTGTGCTGGCTCGCCAGATGCAGCTTTGTCACGCTGGCCATGTGACCCGGAAGTGTCTCCGGACAGCGCTGGCCCCCCGGCTTCTTGAGTGAGATGGGCGCACAACCCCAGAGTCTGTCAAGACTGGCCCGTTCGGGCAGGGGTACCTTTACCTTTACCTTTATTCCTCCCAGATCCTTTTAACAGGATACCCTTACCCGTGGAGGGGCGGGTAGAGGCTACAGCCTACCCTCCATTAAAGATCTAAGCTTACCCAATGCCTGTCTGCCAATCCAGCCATTACCGGCTTGCTGCTAATCCTCCTGATCGAATGTGATGCTAGGTTGATGGATCACCCGACCCCCAGAGTGATCAACCCTGCATCTGATCACAACATTGGCCTGCTTTCTGGCCCGATTGAAGCTAGCAGGGTTGAGACTACCACATCAACCCTGCCTTTCCAACCAGTGTGACCAAAGAATGGTTATGATGGGGATCAATGTCAAGAATCTTTCTAAGTCCTCAATTACATACCAAGTGACGTCTATGGTCTTCCAAGGGCCCAAGTCATTCTCCCCCAGTTGGATGACATCCGGGGGGGGGGGGTAGCAAGATCTTAGATGTAGGCATGAATTCCTGCCACTTCATTCCACACCTCATAAACCAGGAAATCTGGACACCAGGTGCCAATCCAAGGTTGCTGCCTTTTCCGGTGGAAACTACCTGTGGAAGTACCTGGGGCAAGTACCTATGGAATGATAAAAAGTGGAAAGAGGCATCCAAAATATATTATATAAATACATCTTTATGAATCAAGTGCTGTAAGAATCTAGAAAAGTGTTTAGAAGCACTATCTCAAGTATAGGGCCAGTATGCTGGCTAGTAGTCTATTCCTAAAAAATAGAATGCCCCTATGTTGCAGCCACAGAACACATCCACCACAGGGGAAAAAAGCATACTAGGGATATTGTGCCTCCATCAATTTACTGAAGAGGTTTTGGAATATTTTTGTTTCTACTAGAAGACACCACCTTTCTTAATTTGTCTTCAGAAGTAACCATGTATCATTTGAAATAAGTACAGGCAGTGACCATTTTGTGTGTGTCCGATTGACGTCAATCACACACATGCTTGTCACTGCTGACCTGGAAGTGGCCAAAAAAAGGGGCGGGCTTATGCACACTCCATCTATGTGTGCAGGGGTCAGGAATGGAACCTCCATGCAAAATGATCGCCACCTGTACAGAATTTAATTTCTTTCTCGTTTGTTTGTTTTCTTAAATATTATTAACTAACATAAAATGAGTAAGGGGGAAAACGTCAAGATTAATAGCTTTTAAGACATAGCCTAAAATGACTAATAATATCTGCCTTCCTGTTGTCTATCCTCCAGAGTATACAAGAGGTGGCTGGTTATGTGCTTATAGCAATAAACACCGTGAAAAGTATTCCTTTGGAGAATCTCCAGATAATCCGAGGGAACACCCTTTATGAAAATGCTGCGTTGGCAGTTTTACTAAATTACAACGATGTCAGGGGGCTTGAAGAGCTGCCAATGAGACGCTTAGCAGGTGAGTTATTCAGGATGAAAGGGGGCAAACAAAAATTAACACCCCCCCCCAATAATCCTTCAATCTTTAGCAGAACATGGGTTTGTAATCTGTCATTTAAATAATTTGGAATTGACTCAGCACTTGGTATATTAACTCAACTTTCTGTTAATTTGTTGGTGAGGTATGAAATGAGGAGAATCCCTGTCACGATGCACGAATCTTTGAAGGATTATGCATTTCCCAACAACAGCTTGGCTGGCTTTGATATAGTACATAAGAGTCCTCAGCATCTCACAGCAGTAGCTCAGCCAACCATTTAACAGCTCTGTAAGAGAAACCAGTATTATTGTCCCCATATTACAGACAGTAATACTCTGTCTGAAAAACCAAAGTTTATTTTAAGACACTCCGTGACCTAGTTCTTAATCATATCCACCTTCTGCTAACTGTGCTACAGTATTTGTGTGTTCTCATTGCTAATCAATGAAACCTTCCCAGGACCCCCAAGAGGAAACACATATTACTCCCATTTTACAGATGGGGAAAGTCCAGTGCCTTAACCACACAGGAATATGAAAATAATAATGGGGTCAGTAGGCTCATGGAGACTCACCGCTACCTGTCTATACACACACACACACACACACACACACACACACACGTATTTCCTCCTCCTCCTCTTCCCCTTTTAGACTGAAAAGGAAACCATATCATTTTTGATGTCTTTGCCGTAATTTCTTTTGGCAGAAATTCTAAATGGAGGAATAAAATTCAGCAATAATCCTTATCTTTGCAACATGGATAATGTTCTTTGGGATGACATTGTCGATAAAACAAGCAGCAAAGGTTTCGTACAGTTTGATCCCACTGAAAGAACAGAAATATTGCCAAGAACTGACAATAAAACATGTAAGTATAAACTGAAAAACCTATTGAAGTAGCGCCAGCCCACCGGATGTTGAATCCATAACTGTCAACTTTTCCCTTTTCTTGCAAGGAATCCTATTTGGAATAAGGGAATTCCCCTTTAAAAAAAGGGAAACGTTGACAGCTATGGTTGAATCTGTTTCTTAAACGAGTGCAGTCTCAAATTAAAAATGAAGCTATAATAACTGCAGGAGTTTGCCACAATAGCAGCATGATACTAAGGCACTTTTTAAATAAAATGACAAATTCATAGTTACTAATGGTATTTGCCTTGTTTCAAACTACAGTATGTGTATATCATGTCATATTTACCTTGTATACAAATCAGCATGAGAGTCTTACTCTCAGGGTTGTGGGTTTGAGCCCTGCGTTGGGCAAAGGACTCCTGCCTTGCAGGGGGTTGGACTAGATGTCCCTCGTGGTCCCTTCCAACTCTCCAATTCTATGATTCTATGAAATGAAGAGCTGCCTTGCTGACAGTTCCCCAAAAAGTATGACAGGAAAACTACAAGCAATTATAATAACTAGGGACCGGCTTTGTGCTCTTTTGGTGGTAGGAACCCTCTGTGACCTTTCTAGTTGCTATTTAATATATAATGGGTGCTGTCCCATTATTTTGAGCTTTGTCCCACATTCTGACATCGTTACAGACATTTCGTTTGAGGCTCAAGGCACAAAACTCAGTTGTTGAAATAATTAGTTTGGATCAGATCTTGAGTCATGTACACTTGACTAAGAATCAGTGAAAATGATTTTATATAGTAAACGTGAATAAAAATATGTAATTAACATATACTAAATAAATTTTAAACAATGCTGTAACTCAATAAATAATAAACTTATTAAAACCACCTTTTGATGAAACTTTATCAAAACCACCTTTTGACTTCCAAGTTATCTTCAGTAGTCCTAATTGCATGTATGTATATACATCTATGGTTCAACATGAATACCAAATATTAAAAAAAGATCTCTAGGACATAGGAAACTAAAAAGAAAGATAGATGAGAAAAGGTATGTGAAGTAACAACACCAATCATGGCTAATAATAATGATAATCATCCATCCAATGTGTGCCCCCCCAAACTTGAGAATAAGTCTTCAAAAATGTGGATTCCACTGCCAATAAAAACATTGTAAGTTTACCCAAAATTAGTCCAACTGGTCAGCTATGTGTATTCTGCAAATGTCCTTCCCAACAAAAATCAGTATGGAGAGAGTTGTTCCTTTACAGGTCTACTACCCCAGGAGATCCAGATGTTGGTTTATTTACTATGCTACGGCTACATAAACCTACAGAGAATCTAGTTCCCAGTCAGTTGAAAAAACCCTCTTTTATATATGTTTTCATAGTTCACTCGGAAAAGGAACTGTGGAATCAGCTCTCTTGCTTTCTTCATGCTTGCACATGTGTATAGTTAGAAGTCGGAGCTCAAACAACAGAACCAACAGAACTTTGACAAGTTTAAGTGAGAATACAAATTATCCAACAGATAGAATAAACATGTTGGAAGTGATTGTGGCCTACTGATTAATTACATTTTTTAATTATTGCTCAAAATACCTTTTTTACCAATTTCTTCTCTTCAGCAGCAGGAATGCATGTATCCAACTGTCCCTCTTACATTTTGCTTGGATGATGGTTAAGCGACACCCATCCTTTGGGGCCATTTCTGAGGCTAAATTTTCAGCATCCTAAAGCCAATTAATGTCTTCAGACATATGGGAATGAATGGCTTTATCTTTGATTCTCCATTATCTGTTGCTCCCTGCATTAAAGTTGTTCTTCAAGCCAAATGCCCATTCCTACCAGCCCCCTTAGGGCTGACCATCTCCAGCCTTGACCGCTGCATCTTTCACAGCTTAGTCCCAAACTCTACTGGCAAAGTATTCACCTCTCCCACTAAGCAAAATAACACTTTTCATCAAGGTCCTTCACTGCTTTCCCAACCAATTATCTGCACCAAGCTCCTTGTACTTGCTATTAAAGCTTGACACAACCTTGCCTAAACTACATTTCAGTCCACCCCAAAGTACAAAAAGATTCCCATGGAATAAAATTTGTCCACTTGATGTTTTCTCTAATATATATTCCCCACTTTCTTAGGCCAACAGTGTCATCCCAATTGTACAAGAGCACATTGCTGGGCTGCTGGACTAGAGAACTGCCAAACAAGTAAGTAAAAACACTTATTTTTCTTTTAATTTTAAAATATACTTATGTTTTAATGAGGAATATTTCCATTAGCAAGAGTTTCTTTTTGCCATTCTGCTCTATATCATCTGAAATGATGCTTACTTTAAATCTTGGCTGCATTAGCTTCCATGCAGCTGGTACATAGTATAGACCCACCTCAACTCCAATTACTGGGTCTGACTGATGCAGACGTAATGCTGGCTCCTTCTTAACCAGGTGCAATCCTCCACCTAATTTTTTGCAGCCCTTGATGCCACTGTTGTTTGCAAGTCCAGTTGTGTACAATGAATTGCCTTCCCATACTTTGTGGGATTAGTTTCTTTTGGGCAGCTTTTCTTCTTGGCAGCTTTTAGTATAATTAGCCATGGTAGCCTTCTAGACTGGCTTTGTAAGATGGGCATTGGGGACACTGTTGCACAGTGGTTCTGCTCCTACTTACAGGTTGTGTCCAGGGAATAGCACCAGGAGACTGTTTCAGCTGCATGGCCTTTGCATTATGGTGTGTACTGTTCCCCGTGCTGCTTAATGTCTACATGAAGCTGCTAGGTGTGGTCATTCAGAGTTTGGGGGCAAAGTGTCATCAAGATGCTGATGAAACACAGCTCTACTTCTCCATAACATCAGGAGAGAGAGTGCATTATTTAGACCATTGTCTGGGTGGAGTGGATGAGGGCCAATAAACTGAGCTTGAACACTGAAAAGAGTGAGGCACTGTAGATCAGCCAGTTGCCTGTTCTGGATGCAGCTGAACTCCCTCTGAAATAGCAGGGTCAAAGTTTGAGGGTACTCCTGAATCTATCTTTGTTGCTCGGAACTCAAGTATCCTCTGGGGCTAGGAGTAACTTACAGCTGGTACCCTACAGCCATTCTTTGACAGGAATGATCTGGCTAACAAAGGTGTAAAAGAAGCCACTGCGGCCGGGCCGCGGGTTGCTGACCCCTGGGCTAGAGTGATTCATGCATTGGTAACCTCAAGACTTAGTCATTTTAATGCACTCTATGTGGGGGCTACTCTTGAGGCTGGTCCAATAGCCACACCTGGTGCAAAACCTTATAGCTAGACTGTTGGTGTGGACAAAGTATTGCCAGAGCATAATCTGGGTGCTCAAGTCTTGCAGTGGTGGCCCATGTGCTCCTGGGCCAGGTTCAGAGTTCTTGAATTAATTAACAAGGCCCTTAACAACTTGACTCCAAGTTACCTGAGAGACCATCTGATCACTTAGGTCCCTTCCCAATCACTGAGGTCTTGGGGGGATTCAGTGTTAATGGTCCCCGGTGGCTCATATCCACCAGGAGCCATGTGTACTGGGGGTCCACTCTCACAGAACTCCCTTCCAGTAGAAGTCAGACTTTTTGAATATTTTATTTATTGCAACAGGCAATAGAAGTCTGGTATTATAGCTTTTGGCTTTTCTGTATTGTATTTCTTGCACGCTACTTAGAGATGAGTATGTGGTATATATAATTATTTGAATAAAGTAACAGATAAATGAATAAATGTTGGCATTTTTGTCTTTCAGTAACCAAGGTTGACTGTGCAGCACAATGTTCAGGCAGGTGCAAGGGGAGGCTGCCAAGTGACTGCTGTCATACGCAGTGTGCAGCAGGATGCACAGGTCCTAGAGAGAGTGATTGCTTGGTAAGAAGGCTACACAAACCTACATAAATTTATGTCACTATTATGTAACCCAACCTGCAAACAATCAAGCTGAAATGCCTAGTTTTTACAAAGTGTTTATTGCAATTCACCAATAGAAAAACAATGAAGAGAAACACAGCAACATTTGCTAGATTTACAAAAAATAAAATTGAACCTTATATGTTTGTGGCTTGTCTCCGCATTATCCAGAAAATGAAAAAAGGTAGCCAAACATCTATCAAAGTTTATATTGCTGTTTTTCTGATACCTTTCAGATCAAATTATGCATGTACATGATGCCCCTTGTTTTAATAAACCATTTGAATTGATGTAGAATATGTATTGAGCTCGATTTTTTTAGACACCATTATCCTAGCTACTATCAGATGATTCCATGATAAACTATATTGTTCCTTATTTGCATAATTGTTTCACTGATGCTGCATAATTAATTCTAGAAGCAAAAGAAGGTTGAAGCGTATGGTATTGACCACTTTACTCAATAACACTGCATTTTAATGCATATTTACTAGATATGTAGACTAAATAGTGAACCTCTTCAGCAAATATCTGAAGAATGATAATATATGCCAACTAGATGAATCAAAATGCATGATTTTTACAGTGTTATATTTTAATTTAACACATACCAAAACATAATATGCTATCTTGCAAAATAACACCAATATTTAATAGAGATGGCTGTATATAAATTATGCACTTAATTTTAGGGTTTTTTGCCTACTTGCCTAATTCCATCAATATCTTAATATTGTAACTAAGTATTAGTTAGCTTTAATTTGACCTTTTAAAAAATCTGTTCAAAAGCATTCCCAAGTAACCTATTTTTATGCTGGGCCAAGATTTGTTTGTTAGAGAAGGGTTTTAACTGCAGAAACTGTTACAAAATAGAATATATTGTGTTTGTGCCCTTATTAAGCATCTTAAAATTAAATCCTGTTATCTAAGTCACACAATCTTGAAACCTCCTTTCTACCCCAATATGTGATTTCACTGAAACATGTTTCCAAGCAAATGTGCTTAGGAATCCAACCATATGTTTAGGTCTCAGTCCCAGTTCAGCATTAGTCCACTTTCTTAATGTACATGGAATCTAAAATGACCTATATTACAGATATGTTACAAGGCTGACAAAGTTTGCACAGCAACAGTGCTATATAAATCATAGATAATAATGAGCTTTCAGATTGAGAAATAATAAAAGTCTAGGCTTAAAAATGGTAAATTTTGTCATTTTCTACTGTATTAAAACAAAATATTTGCTCTTGTACTATTGTTGCATTATTTATTGACAGGCATGTCGCAAGTTTTGGGATGATGCAACATGCAAGGAGTCTTGCCCTAGTTTGCAAAAGTACAATATTATCACCTATCAGTTGGAAGACAACCCAGATGGAAAATACAGCTTTGGAGCAACTTGTGTAAAGAATTGCCCACGTAAGTTTTAGCTTTGGAGCAACTTGTGCAAAGAATTGTCCACAGAAGTCAGTCTGTGGAGAAGAAAGTTCACTTTCTGCCTTCTATTAATTTCTGGTATGCATCTCATGCACATGTTCTCGAACCCTCAGCTGTTCATTCTAGAGTGGTAATTTCCAAACGGCTGTGAGAAAGAACTTCAATAATGACTCCCTTATTTGAGGGATTAAATTAAATCCATTAATTTACTAGTCTAACTTCATCTCCCTCCAGCCAACCTCCATTTGCAGCTAGTGAACTTGAAATCACTCCTGATCCCATGACGCAGCATCATTAGCAAGCCTGGAGTCAGGGCACCCACTGAACCGCTGTACAAATCACTATTCCTGGACTTTCCTCCTTTCAGTATGCTGCCAATTTTAATTCAGCTACTCTAAGCTTAGTTCTGTAATCTAGAGGAAACTGTAAGAAGCACTACTGTTTTCACATTATGCACCCATCATAAAAATGTGTGATGAATTTTAATGTACTCACATAATGTACCTCAAACATGTAGACTTGGGAGCATCTCTGCTAGCCCTATTTGCTCAAGACAGCTGGTGAGGCTCATCTCAACAGTCCTACACTCTGGGTTTTACATGTACACATAGGAACATAGGAAACGGCCTTATACCCACTATTGGTCCATCTGGCTCGAAGCTCAGGGTTTCAGATGGGACATTCTCAGCCTCTTTTTAAAACACAATATTTACCTTGGTTCATTTTTAATTTTTAGCATTTTTGTTGTGCATTTGAATAACTTTTTTTACATTTTTATTGAAATGGCAAATTAGATCAGTCAAATTCCACTCTGCCTTTCCTCTTTTCCCAGTGCCTAAGTGCTGTTTTTTGACTTCCTACTAATGCTTCTTCAGGAATTCTGTTTCTGCGAGTTGCAGTATGAAGTGACCTGATCCACACCACCAAAACTAATATGTGGATTAGAACATAATTATCCTTCATATTTTGCAATACAGTTCTTGGCTTAAGAAATTATATAAATGCATGTAAAGTGTGCATTTTAGGGTAAAAAGAATTTAGAAATACATATATTGAGATAAATTATGTATTAAAATATGCATTGTGATAAAATACATAAAACATCCTTAAATACATTGTTTTGTGTGGGGGGGTTTTTAACAATTCACAGATTAATGCAGAGACAGGATGGAATGGTCTTGGGAACAAACGCATGCAAAACTGACACAGACTGATCCATCCATTCTTACTCCCTGCCTTTTCTAGATAACTACGTTGTAACAGACCATGGTTCATGCGTCCGGTCATGTCCTCCAGACTCTACAGAAGTGGAACAGAATGGCATTCGGAAGTGTAAAAAATGTGATGGCCCCTGTAGCAAAGGTATGAAAACTAGAGAATCACTGTGTGTGATGCAGGTGAATATAAAGCCCTAATGTTGACTGACTTTTGTAGTACTACAGTAGTAATCTCAAACAGTAATAATGATGAAGTAAGTCTTGGATGAGATTACAGTTCAACAAATGCAGTAGAAATTCTTATCAAAACTGAAAAGTGCAATTTATTAAACCCTGGTCACAGCACAAGGTTTTTCGGGGAAAGGTAAATCATGAACCCGAACAACATGCTAGGTCAAACCATGGCTTAGCTCAGCTCCATACACTAAAATGACTGGGAAGGAGGAAAACAGCCACAATCTCATCTCCAGGAGCTCACATGTTTGCTCATTCATGGTTTGAGCTTAGAGTGGTAGGTAAATCCTTAAAAGGTATAGCATAAGAGGCAGTGGTGAATGGAGTCTGAAATGCTTAACCAAAGGAGAATTGTTATTCTGTTATTTAAAGCTCACGGTTTGGCTTGGAGAGTTAAACAATGAGTCTGGGTTCAGACACATGTGAAACCAAACAATGAAACACAAACAGCAGAATGACCAGGGGGAATAAAGAGACTGTTGTCTCCTCTCTGGGAGCCTGTGCATTTGTGCTAAGCCACGGTTTGGCTTAAATATATTTCTGTTCTATATTGTTTCCATGTGTCCAATTCTTCTTATGCTTTTATGTTGTACAGATATGATTGATGTATTAAATAAAGCAAAAACAAAATGACTTGAGACCAAGTTCATTTGTTACCTATCGATTTATTCCTCTTTGCCCTCCAGGACTGACAAGTGCGGAAGCTTGTTGCTGGTGTGTATACTGATCTTACTGATGCCTGAAGCCCCCATTGAGCCCTAACATTTATTTTTCCTTTTTAACAGTGTGCAACGGGATCGGAACAGGTGATTTTAAAGGTGTTATTGCCGTTAATGCATCCAATATTGACTATTTCACAAATTGCACTACAATCAATGGAGACCTTGTATTTCTGAAAGTATCATTTTCAGGGTAAGTTCTTGTTGTGTCTAATGTGGAGCAGAGAAATGTGGCTTATCTATTAGCTCAGTCACTGAAGGTTCTGTTATTCTCTGTCTTCTAGTGATTCATACACAAGGACACCCCCTTTGGACCCAAAGAAGCTGGATATCTTTAAAACTGTTAAAGAAATCACAGGTTAGTGATATCAAGTGGTTTAAAAGCCTCATCTCTCAGATTAGAAACTGACTGAGATTGTAGGAGACCAGCATCTACTGTTAAGAAGTAGACTTTTTAATTCCAACCTATACAAATAAAATCCATTGTGCATAGACTACAGACCATGTTTTGCATTTACATTCATATAAGTTGGACTAGCACTTGGTCCCAAAGGAGCCATTTAATGCTGTTTGACACCAGAAGCAATAGAACCAAAACATTTTTACACCTGGAGTTCTCACACTTTGTAGCAATGCTTCTCCCTAAGTGAACAGAAAACATTTTGAACTTCTGCAGATGCAATGTCAAGATGGGAGTCGGGAGCAAGTCAGCAATAACTCACAAAAAGTCAGTGAAGTTAACTCTTTATTCATGGAAACCAAAACAGCTCAGGCCTAGTGATCACAGCAACTCTTCCCTGTAGGTCTTGCCCCAATGAGGCAGTTGCAAAGGCTGAAGGTTCTCTGCCTTTCTAAGACGACTCCTTCCCTGGGCCGTTCCCAAGCAATCTAAGGCTCCATGTCTTATCTCTCTTGCTGTGCCCTCTTCATTCATCTCTGTTCTGGGAGACCAGAGGAGAGGGGAGCTGCTCACAGCAGGAGGGGGAGGCTTCTTCAGCAGCCTGCTTGATCTCTGCTTCTTGGCCCCGCTCCTCTCCAGCCTTCACTTCTGCCTCTAACTCTGGACTGTTCTCTGCCACAGTACTTGTAGTAACAAAAAAAACCCTACCTAACACTGCTTTCATATTTCCTTCAACACCTCCCCTGCCCCATCCCCTCAGAGGAGGAAGGGCTCTCTTTCCTTCCCCGCTTCTCCCCCTTGAAATCCTTTGTCTCTCAGCCAGCCTTACTCAGCGTGCAAGGAGTTGCTGGTGCCAGCACTGGTCCAGCCAAAAGGCTTAGAGCACGGCTGAGGCGAGGGTGGGGAGGCAAGTGAGGAGGCTGTGGGCAGGCTGTGGCACTGAGCCCACCTGAAAGTGACCCAAGGCTCACTGGTGGGGCCCAACCCCCTGTTTTAGAAACATCAAGCTACCAGTCACATGTTCTGATCATAGAGGTTGAGCGTGAATTGTGTGTGTGTGAGAGAGCAGGCAAGGACTCCCCCACAGTCCCATGATTAGGGCATGTTCTGGTCTGCTGTTTCTATGGTGTGGCAACATATTTTCCTTGCTTTCATGTTAGCCTCAATCTTTTGTGGGTGAATAATGCAAAGGCAGCCAAGATGTTTGTCACAGTTCTTGTTTATTGTACATTTCAAAATGAAATAAAAACATTCATTACAGAAACAGGAAGGCCAAATCACTTTTGTGACTGATGGGGAGAATACATCTGGCACACTTGTTACCCCTGGAGGGGCTCTCAATCCGGTGGAGAAGAGGAGTGGGTTTCCCTGCTGCAGCCCTTCTGGTTTCCACTCTGTTGTGAATGGCCCCCAACTCTCTGGAGCTGATTTGTAGGGGACACTGGGGGCTGCAGAAGGGAGGGGGAGTTAGAAAAAAAATCCTTCTCCTCTTCCATTAGTGGATGCATCTGCTGGATCAAAAGCCCTTCTGTAAGCACAGGAACACCAACTAGATTCTACCCAGTGATGATAATGATTATTTAAACCAAATATTCTCTGGATAATGATGACGTTGACAATGATTTAGTTGTACCCCCACCCAACTGACTGGGTTCCCTCAGCCACTCTGGGTGGCTTCCAACAGAATATAAAAATACAATGAAACATCTCTCTTTTTTTCTTTCTTCCTAAATGCTCCCAAATTGAAATGATATATTTATTTATTATTTATTTTTAAAATTAATTTCAATTCATTACACAAACATTCAAACAACAGAGAAAAAAGAAAAACATACCAGACACAGAAAAAAGAAAAGAAAAAAAGAAATTTCATAACAAAAAACACCGACAAATTAAACTTACAATAAATGACTTCCCTTCATCTCTGGTTTCGGAGTATGATACAAAATATTGTAATCTGCAGTTTCGTTTTCTTAAATCTCTTTGCGTCACAGGCGTAATTTCTAGCCTACTGTGATTTTTAAGTTTTTAACCTCTAGTTCAATATATGACATAAATTTATTCTATTCATCATTAAACTTTGTGGTCTTTTGGTTTCTTATTTTCTGTGTCATTTCTGCCAATTCTATATAATCAAACAATTTAGATTGCCACTCCCTTATAGTTGGGATTTTCGATGTTTTCCAGTTTTGTGCTATAAGTGTTCTAGCGGCTACTGTAGCATATTGGAAAAGTGTTTGGTCTTCCTTTCTAATTTCTTCTCCAACTATCCCCAAAAGGAAGGCCGTACAATGAAACACCTCAATAGAAGGCTGCCTTCAGATGTCTCCAGAAAGCTGTGTGGCTGTTTATCTCTTTGACATCTATAGAATGGTAGTTGTTCACACAACAGCCTCGTAGCAACTCAGAACACAAGTCCCTCTTACTGTATTATGGTCATACCTGACATTTTTTGAAAATTCAGAAAAGGGTTACTTACTCCATCCCTTTCACTACTTGCCCTAGGATGCAAGTTAAAAGCAAAGGAAATCAGGAAATCTGTTTAACAAGTTGCCTCAAGAGTTTGCTGCATTGCTCTAGCAAGCTTCGTTATTGGAGGCCTAATTGTCAGTAATATGGTCCTGGTTCATACACTCACAGTGTTCTCATTTGCATGGAGAAGGAAAGTCATGACCCCTGTGCACAACATCTATTATGGAGTGCATGGTCCATATTTGGCCAAAATGTTTGATGGCCTAATCTTGCTCATGGCATGGGGGGAGTAACTAATGCATTTCATTTCAATGTTTTAGGTCTGTGTGCACCCCTATTCTTTCTGGGCACAGCTCAATATTACAAGTTGTCCAGATTAATGTGTTACAGGCCTGCTTCATTTGTCACTTTCTCGTTTGTCAGGTGGACCGAAAGACAGCTCAAAATGCTTGGTGTTTTGAGAGCTCTTTCCAGAACGCAATGCCTGGGCAGCTGGGAAGCCTAATAGAGTAGTAGCTGCATTAAGCATTACTGTAGTGCACTTTCTGCATTTTTGAAAAGGCATTCACTAGCCTGTGAAATAGTTTATCTTTATGCCACCAGCAAAAGTTACGAGTTTCCAACAGAATTTGCTAAGGGAAGTAAAATTTCTGTGGTGTCTAACACGGCTCAGGTTTATAGACTCCAGCTTTTGTGATACTTAGCTGCCTTGGTGGCCTGCATGTAAACTGTTTACAAAGCAGTGTTAAAAATAGCTCAGTGCTGAAGCTCCTTGAAATGTTCTTCGTTTTGATGTCCACATAAAAGTATGAAAGGAGCAAAGTCATTCTTGGTTGACAAAAATACTTTGTAAATGTGTTTATGCTATTGGTCTTCTTTCAGGATTCTTGTTGATCCAGGTTTGGCCACAAAATTTCAAAGATTTGAGTGCTTTTGAAAATCTGGAGGTTATACGAGGCAGAACAAAACAATTGTAAGTGCAGCCATGTGCCAAAAATGCTTGTGTACTTGGGCTTATTTGTAAAAAAAATGGCTAGAGGATTGGTCATGACCGACAGCCAGATTGCAGGCTGCAATTAATGTGGGATAGGGACCAACCACACGGCCACCGTTTTCTGTTATTAGCTTAAGGTTCCGCAGGGGAGGGGGACATTATCATTGTTTAATTAACACATCTCTGTTTCTTCTAATATTCTTCCATCCAAATTACTGATCAAGTAAGTATCTGCTTATCTTTAGCAGCTCTGCAGTATCTATTTTTACTACTGTATTCCATTAATTGGACTCATTTTAATTTTTGGTTTGTTGGTTTATTTGTTTGTTTTTAGAGAATGAAGCAGAGGAAGGAGGCCATATGAATTTTCCTTAAGCATTATGTCAGAATAGCTAAACCAGAATTGAAGATTTGCAATAAACCAGGCTGTGAAACTATTGTTTGACGCGGGTTTATGGTTATTTATGTTAAGCAAGCCATTTTAAAGACTATTTTCCATGCTTCTCCAGTACTCTGCTTGCAAGATGATAAGAAGCAGGGGCACCATCTGGGGTGGTGGGCTGATCCCCCCCCCCAAAAAAAACCAAGGAGGGGATCCCTCAATATTCCGCAGTCTACTGGGTCCTGTTGGGGCTTTCTCCAGCTAGTGGAAGGCTGCACTGGCTTGCATGGTGTCAGGAAACGCCACAGGGATCAGCGTGTCTGGCATGAGTCGCACCACCTGTGTAGCATCTCCCAATGCTGCAGAGACCAGCGTGGCCTAGCAGAAGGCAGCACCAACCTGCACAGCATTTGGAGATGTGTGTCATGTCACACGTGTGGTGTCACATGCATGCTGGCCGCCTTCAATCTTGGAGTAACCCGGCGCCTGTGACAAGAAGATCTTATTAGTGTTCCCCTGTAGTTGTGACCTGCATAACCTGCAAGCTGACCACAACCTACCATCCACACATTGTGGACTGTCAAGTGTTTGACAACCCCAGGCTGTTTCTAGTACCAATAGATAAGCTTAATTTAACTGATTGTGGACTGCTGTACATTGATCAGATACATGGTTCCTACTCACAGCTTCTGAGGAAGCTAAGCTATAGTTTGTGGCACGCTAAGCCATAGTTTCATGCTTCATTTAGGATCTTGCCCAGGATTATGGCAAAAAAACAATTGGTAATATCTGTGGTTACTCATTATGTCTGCACTGGATGAAGAACTAGAGGAGCACACATTGGGTGTGCATTAGGCCTGGGCCATGTACAGTACCTTGCCTAGGACAGCTTTGAAGGCAAGAGCGCGATGGCACCTTCACCTGGCGGTATATCCTGGGTGGGGCTTGCCTGCCGCTGACTCCCTCTGCCACCAGTACCTGACATGTGGAGGGAGGAACAAGCGATACATCGCAGTGTTGAAAAGCTGACAGTGCCCAGCCCTAGTGTGCATGTGTGTTAGAAGCTGTTATCCGCGCTGCAAGTTGCAGCTAAGGTAAAGTAAAGGTAAAGTTACCCCTGCCCGTACGGGCCAGTCTTGACAGACTCTGGGGTTGTGCGCCCATCTCACTCAAGAGGCCGGGGGCCAGCGTTGTCCGCAGAAACTTCCGGGTCACGTGGCCAGCGTGACAAAGCTGCATCTGGCGAGCCAGCGCAGCACACGGAACGCCGTTTACCTTCCCGCTGGTAAGCGGTCCCTATTTATCTACTTGCACCCGGGGATGCTTTCGAACTGCTAGGTTGGCAGGCGCTGGGACCGAGCAGCGGGAGCGCACCCCGCCACAGGGATTCGAACCGCCGACCTTTCGATCGGCAAGCCCTAGGCGCTGAGGCTTTTACCCACAGTGCCACATCTGAAAAGCATGGATTGCATGTTAATAATAATGTTACCAAACTGTCTCAGATTTTCTCTGTTACCATAAATTAGCCATGTAATACTAATTCAGAAGTTTCCCTAATGTGGCCTCCCAAACTTCTCCGTCTCCCAGGCCACACCCCCTCTGTCCAGGCCATCCCCCTCGCTGGCCCTGCTTTGCACACTCCTTGAGTGTTCTTGCCTGACTGGAATATTTCTTTGAACTCTGATGATGCCTTTCACTTCCCTGGATGGAGGATGGAGTGACGTCTTTGTGTGTAGAAACCAGCCTCCTGTAGAAAGCTAAAACTTCTCTTAATAGTTCTGTCCACTTTTCCCTCTGGCCTTGCCCTCCCAACCCAAGGCTCCCCAGAAGAGAATGTGGATCTCAGGCTGGAAAAGCCTCCTTATTCAGATTATTTTTTATACTAGAGAACTTAAATTAAAACATATTTGTTTATTTCATTTGATTTATTTCAAAGCTTCTTTCTAGCACCAGAAAATCAAAAGAATAATGAGTTTAGAAAAGCTGCATTTTTCATTTCTCCCCTCCTTTTTTTTGAAACCATACTCTTTTTTTTCCATTTTAGGGGCCAATATGCTCTTGCTATCACTGGCCTGAACATAACATCTCTGGGATTGCGCAGTCTGAAGGAAGTAAGCGATGGGGATGTTGCCATTTTAAGAAACAACCACCTCTGCTTCGGTAACACAGTGGACTGGAATAAACTTTTTGTAACAAAAGATCAGAGCACAAAAATAATTAGAAACAGAGATGAAAGTGAATGTGGTAAGTTACTAGGGGCCACTTACCCAGTTCAAATTACCTGTAAATTTCAGAGAGACTTCTGCCCATGGTTGCAGTTAATCACATTTTTAAAACGTTGTTGGTTTTGCATTTGTCTATATCCCCATAAGTATGCATTATTGGAGGCCTCAATCCCTAAGCTGCATATCAGGCACAGTTGCGCATAAGGACTGCCTGTGTGAACCTTCCTGTATCCTTCAGAGGCCCTATTTGATGCTCCTACTTTCAAAGTTTAGGAGGGTTACAACCAGGGGTGGGGGGAAAGTGCCAGCAGTCAGCAGGTCAGGCACTGGCTGAGGGTTCCAGGGTTGAGAAGGTCCCTTCCCGCACTCCTTAGGAGCCAAACTCTGTTCCCATTTGCAGTGGTCGCCTAGAAGCCCATCTCCTTGTTGCTCTGCTCTGAGAAACAGTTGAGGAGGTCCCTCTTCCCAGACACCCTGGCCAAAGCAGCAGGGCATGTTAAATTTTTCAACTTTCAAATTCCAAAATGAGGGGTGCTAAAAAGTTGTAAATAAATAATGACGTAGTGTAATATGTCAGGTGTTGTAATATGTTGAAGTGGTATTTACCTAATTTTAAGACCTGCTAAAAAGCAGATTATTGTTGTTCTGTCTTGATAACAACATAACGAACCACGGAATTCAAAGAGGGTGTACTTTCTTTTTCCCATGACTGTACATGTAAAAGGGAAGAGTGTTGTGGAGATCAGGTGCCTGAGAAGGCTTTTGGGTACCACAATCTAGGATGGAGGCAATACAAATAGATCCTAACCTGAATTCTAGCAATTCATTTAACTGAGTATCAGTGGAAACTGAATCATGTCCTTGATGCTTATCCTCTCTTGTGACTTTGACACCATCTTTTGAGATTTATTTAATGTATGGATGTATTAATTTTTAATTTATCTTGTCTGTTAGCCGCTGCAACAGAAATTTGCCATCCCCTCTGCTCAGATGAAGGCTGCTGGGGCCCGGGGCCCTTGCAGTGCTTTTCTTGCCGTTACTTTATTCGCCAACGGGAGTGTGTAAAAGAGTGCAACATTGTGCAAGGGTAAGCTAAGCATTTTCTCCATTCTATTTAAATAAGATACTGAAATCTTAATCCTGTATATGTTAGCTTTCATGTGTGCCTGGATTCTGCATTTTGCTGAACCACAGAGAAGGATGGAGACGGGGAGTTATTCTGCAGGAGTTGCATATAACTTAGCAATCAACACAGGTAACTAAGAATGACAGAAGTTATAAGGATTATGGATCAAATATACTAGTGCCAATTATTTTGCTGGCCCTGGCTGAGGAGAAAAACAGGAAAATCAGTTATATATAGTCTGTCAGGTGCAAAGGTCCCATGGATGCATAGAAATTGAATCCCAGCTAATGATTGTGATCCTGAGGCAAGAAGAACATGTTCTTCTTCTCTGATGTCAACTATGCAATATTGACTCCTCCACATGCTTCCCATAGAAAATATTTTTCTTGCTTTTCCTTCTACTATGTCTTTCCAAAATTCTTTGGCTAGTTTAAAACAAAATGAAACAAAAACCCAGCATATACATAATGTAAACTTTTTGAAACACTTCATCTTTCAGCAGATGTTACCTTTTTATAAGTAAAATTCCTCCAGGTAATGCTTTGACCCACAGGGCAAATTTGGTCTTTTCACATCAAATTATGATCAGACACAGTTTAATTAGTGGTAAAGTTACCTAGCATGTAACAGAACCATCTGTTCTCAATTTTTATATTTTAATGATTCACTGGAAATTTCAGAGAAGCTTTGAATTTAAGTATCAGCTTATTAACCAATATAATTCAGTCCCTTGTTTAAAAATTGCATTGTGATTCCTCTGGGTTTGCCTGCATCTCCAGCCCACAGGATGTAATTGTGTCACGGTATGAGGTGCACGTTACACTCATGTGCCCCCATGTGTAGAATCTTCAAATGTTTACTGAAAATGATGCTTATAAATAACTGTGTGACTAGAGTCCACTCAGATACTACAAGCCATACTTGCACAGGCATTTAATAGATGAAGGACTTGTGTGAAAGACAAAAAAGCTTTACATGTTGTAGGTGTAGAGCATGACTGACGCTCACGTCTGCACCTCATTGCATACACAAGTGGCCTGCAGGACCTGAGCGACAGAAGCATAGCTCTGTGGTGGAGCTGGGTTGGTTGGGAGACAACGCTGAGAGCGCCTGTGGGGCTGAAGTCGAACTAGAACATAGAGTAGAGCAAAAGGGTCCAGGTTCAGCCCATGGCACCATCCAGTTAAAGGTATAGCAGGTGGTGGGAATGGCCTCTCCCTCTGGAGAGCTGCTGCCAGCTGCAGTCGACAGTACTGGGCAGCATGGACAAATGGCCTGCCGTAGCAGAAGGCATCTTCCTGTGCCTCACCAAGCCAAACTCAACCAAGCAGCCCCTCTTGCGACCTGCCAGGTGCCTGTTTCTCCAGCCCAAGAGAAGTAACATAAATGGGGATGAATGACTCCATGCTGCTCTTCATCTTTTCCCTAAGCTGAATAGCAGCATGCAGGGCCATTTCTCCCCCTGAGATCTGCTTATGCTGCTCAGCTGAGTGTGGAGTACTTGGGAGTGTTGAGAAGGAGGCTGGACTACAGAGCATAGACATGGTGCCATATCCTCCATTGGTGGAGGAGATCACAACCTCTTGCGGGAGCAAGTTTCATCATTTAACTATGTACTACATGAAGAAGTGCTATGCTCTAGCCCAGGGGTTGTCAACCTGGTCCCTGCCGCCCACTAGTGGGCGTTTCAGGATTCTAGGTGGGCGGCAGGGGGTTCTGCGGCACAAGCTGAATCCTCCTTCCATCGAGTGCTGGTGGGCGGTAAGGAAATTTTACCATCAAGAAAGATGCATTTGTGGGAGGTAGGTGTAAAAAGGTTGACTACCCCTGCTCTAGTGTTAGGTTTCTTTGTCTTATGTTCTCCAAGCCATGCATAATTTTATAAACTTCTATCGTGTCACTTCTTACTTGTCTTTTCTCTAACTAAAAAGTCCCAGATGCTGCAACCTCTTGGTCCTTTTGTTTACCCTTTTCTGAACCTTTTCCAACTCCACAATATCCTTTTTTTCAGGTGTGGCAACCTAAATGTACCCAGGAATGTATCCAGCATTCCAAGTGCAGTTGCGCCCTAGATATTGGCAGTTTTATTTTCTGTTCTAATGATCTCTAGCATAGAATCTGCCTTTTTCCCTGCTGCCATACACTGGGTTGACATCTTGACTGAGCTGTCTACTATGACCCCAAGGTCCTATTCCTGGTCAATCACCAGCATTTCAGATCTCCTGAGCATATATATGAAATTAAGGGGGGTTTGCACCAACATGTAGCTCTTTACACTTGTTTACATTGAAATGTATTTCCCATTTTACCAAACATTCGCTCAGTTAGAAGAGGTCCTTTTGGAGCTCTTCACAATCTCTTTTTATGTTAAGAACCCTGAACAATTTAGTATCATCAGCAAACTTCATCACGTCACTGCTCACCCCTGTGTGTTGTGGACCATGTGAGATTAGCCACATGCATATGGCACATTTCTAAACAGATGTAGGAAGAAGCCATGTTTCTTGGATCCTATGCATACTAACTGGAGAATGTGCCCAAACAATGTAGAAAATGCCGTTGAGATATTCACATTCCCCAAGGCCTGTTGTGCATGATGTTGGAACCATGGGATGGAAATCCAGCTGGTCAGGCCCCAGCCGGAGCACCTCCCTTCTCAGCCTTGCCACTGCGGAGATCCCTCAGTCATCCTCCGACGTGCGTCTGCGGCTCATGCTGCAATGCAAGAGCACACATTACTCAGCAGAGTAAACGCACAACAGATCTGGCTCGAGGCGTGGATACTAGACTACGTTTATTGTACATAAATCAGGACAAAGAAAACATGGCTTCTCTCCTTGTCGTTCTTCTCGGAGAGAGAGAACACAAAAGCAATACAGAGCGGATGTTCCGCTCATGAAACTCCAACAGTCTGTGCTGGAATGTAAACAGACATATGACATGTAACAATCCTGCACTTCTGCAGCAAGGGAGGAATGGAATTCCCAACACATAATGGTTAGAGAATGTCCACAATTGGGATATCATGCATATTAACCAGGAAATTTGCACATTCTCCATGAGGCCTGTACACAATGTCCGTTTGTTATGCAAATTGACCACTAAACTTAAATTCCCCCTAACATGAGGGTGAGGAATACACCTTTAGTTACATTTGCTGGAACTAACTGCAGAGTGCTGGAGAAAGGTGTAGCTGGCACATCACTGTAAGGAGGCTTTGTCAGTGGGGGTGGGGGTGTCTGTAGTGCTCACTACTACTATGATGCTTTTGGGCATCATAGGTATTCCACAGCCACTCCTCAGTCTGACAGGGTGACATGACTGGAATTTCCTCCCAGGTATTAAACTTGAATAATCCACTACCTTAGCACTGTCACCTCCCTGGTCTTTGAATCCCTCCCTGGGATTGTCTGTTTGGGTCTGGGTTGTTAATGTTGGAATGTCTTAGCAAGATTTTGGAAGTGACAGAACAGGCTTGTTTTAGTGTTGCTTCTTCCAGTGCTATAATATAGTCCTTCTGCCCTCCTTTATTTATGTGCATCAACCCTGTCAAAATACTACATTAATGTTTCAGCACTCGGAAACTTGGAGTCATATCTTGCTGTTAAAGTTATATTCACTTTTCTATCCATTTCAGGAATCCTCGGGAGTTTGTAAGAGAGCTTGAGTGTCTTCAGTGCCATCCAGAATGCCTGGTGCAAAATTCAACTGAATTCAACGCAACTTGCACAGGACCTGTAAGTGCATATTATCTTGCAATCTTATTCCCAACAATACTCTAATGTTCAGTTGCCCCAATCCCTAAACCATGGTGGACTCAGATCTGTGCAATGCAACAGAGGGTGCAGGTAAATCTGCTTGGTGGGTGGAGGGACTGAGAGCTCATGTAGGTAGGAAAAAGCTATTCCTAGCCAAGCCCAGGCTATATTTGCCTAAGTGATGCATAAGTCATTTGCCCATAAGGGCTCCCCTGTCCATGTGCAGAGCACTTCCCTCCACTGAAATAAAAGCAGAATCATTTTCATGTTGGGTCTCCTACATCCATAAGCAATTGCTAGTTTGGGTGAAGGGAAGTATGTAAGTTTTGTATTGGGGGGGAGGACAATAGCTGTGATAATGATGGGCAATTAATCACTGCAAAATAGGGGGGGGCACAATTTTAATCTTTAGTGAGAATTCAGTTTTTGGCACCATAGTGTTATATCAATGTTACATTTTACTTAAAATATCCCAACTCTGCTCCTGCATGTCCAAAAAGGTACATGCAACGTAACTTCCCACAACTAACATTCCTGAAGGACACTCAACTTGCCTCTTAAGGGGAATGTTCTAGGGCCAGCAGAAGTCTAGAGATGTGGGGCTTGGTTGTCTCCAATAGTTTTTGAAATTTTAAACATCTCGCCTGCAACACTATTTACCACAGTTACTGCCAGAAAGAAGGCCATCATATGGGTGGCATAACAGAGTTGGGGGAAGGGCTGGGAACAAATCAGGGCGCAATCAAGGAGGCTGGATGGAATTTAAGAGGGCACAGTAGCAAGCAAATAGGAATGGTTCTGAGGAGGAGCTGTTGACCAGCCTGCCAGCTAGGAGGCAATTCATGTGTTTGGTAGCCAAGGGTATCAGCTGTATGAAGGGCTTCTCAAGAACCTGCTGGGTTGATGTGTGCCATTGGTGTCCCCACTCAATGCACAGTCAGCATTAGTCTAAAGGAAGCATACTCGTGCATGGCTCTTTCCACAGGAATGGGAATCCTGATCACTCAGGGTTCCTGTCCCCAGGAAGGAAGCCCTATGAAAGTACACCCCTACGTTTGTATGCCCCCCTCCCCTGCTTTCTGGCTGACGTCATATGTGCTTTGGCTGGCTAGGGCTGGTGCATGCATCTTAACAACAAGACCAGCTGACTCATTCTTGAGAGCCCCTTCACATTCACATGGCCCTAAGCAACAACTGTAAGGTGGGTGGTGCTGTTGACGAAGGAGGAAGGAGCAGAGAAGGTGGGTGGAGATTTATTTGGAGCAACACCATTACTCCAAGAGGCTGTGTTTCTAAGCCTCTCTCTGTGAATATTGAATAAAGAACATTGGCAAGAACTTTCCTTGTCTTATCCATTCCTGGCAACCTACCATGGGGGGGGTTGGATCCTCTGACGCCTGACATTTACTAACCTTTATGCCATTCCATTAGTGCACTTCTCAGCTCATGAACAAAAGTGTTTTATATCCCAATTTCTTATTTCTTACGCAGGGTCCAGGCAATTGTCTGAAGTGTGCCCATGTAAAAGATGGTCCTCATTGCGTTAAGTCATGCCCCGCTGGTATTTTGGGTGAAAATGATACCATTGTCTGGAAATATGCAGATGAAAGTTCAGTGTGTCAACTATGTCATCCAAACTGTGTTCGCGGGTGAGTAGAAACACTTTATTTTAAAGCAAATTGAAGTGATAAGCATTTTAATTTGTGAAACTTAACTGTGTAAACAAAAATACTAGAAAATTAATTTACAAGCATGAAAGCAAGATACAATCAAAACTAAACAGAACTGCTACATTCTAAAGATTTGGAAGTGATTTTGGTGTTTTAGGTTTTAAAAAATTGATTTAATACATGGGGGCATATAAAATCTTTAAAAAAGATTAGTAGTTGAAAGTGGAACTGCTGAAGCTGTTGTGTCTGGTATACAGAAAAATATGTAATGTTGTCATGTTGAAATCCAATTATTTTAACTGATGTCATTAAGGTTCAACTTGCATATTTCCCCCCATCAGCCAAGTTTCAGCTTGGGGGATGAGATTATAATCAAGATATGAAGGGAAAGGTTAAAACAAAACAAAACACCTTTCCCAGTGCCATAGCCTTGTTTGATTTGGGTCCCACCCTGAGTGCTCCTTGGAAGGACAGATCCTGAAGCTGAGACTCCAATTCTTTGGCCACCTCATGAGAAGAGAAGACTCCATGAAAAAGACCCTGATGTTGGGAAAGATGGAGGGCACAAGGAGAAGTGGATGACAGAGGACGAAGTGGTTGGACAGTGTTCTTGAAGCTACCAGCATGTGTTTGACCAAACTGCAGGAGGCAATGGAAGACAGGGGTGCCTGGTGTGCTCTGGTCCATGGGGTCACGAAGAGTCGGACACGACTAAACGACTAAACAACAACTTACAGCTTGTTAACAGTTCTAAAAGACTGAGACATTATAATGGTTCACACCTAGTTTTATGTGGGCAGCCCCAAAGAAGGCCCAGTTTTAAGAACCTCTTGGATTAGAACCGTACTGACACCTGGTGGATAATTAATATATTGTGTTTAGGGACTTCCTTGTGGTACAACAGGATTGTCTAAAACCAGGGGTCAGCAAACTTTTTCAGCAGGGGGCCGGCCCACTGTCCCCCAGACCTTGTGGGGGACTGGACTATATTTTGAAGGGGGGGAAATGAACAAATTCCTATGCCCACAAATAACCCAGAGATGCATTTTAAATAAAAGGACACATTCTATTCATGTAAAAACATGCTGATTCTCGGACCGTCCGCAGACCGGATTTAGAAGGCAATTGGGCTGGATGCGGCCCCCAGGCCTTAGTTTGCCTACCCATGGCGTAAACAGATCTTTAAAAGGGATACGTGCACTCAGTGCTTTTTTGGTTGAAAAATGAATGCGGTGCCAGTACCCATGTAATGATAGAAGTGCTGTGGGTGCCAGCACAAAATGGCTGCCGTGGGCAACAAAAAAGGAGGTCTGGTACTCGGTACCTGTGAGTACTGCCACAAAAAAGTCCTGAGTGCACTGAAGCCACAGCCTCATGTAAGGGATATTCTATTTTGTTTTAGAGAATATATATGCAGAAAACTTCTGTCAGTTTAAGTCTTGTGACTTCCACCTAAAGAACTGGAGGGCAGCTGAGAAAGACGCAACCAGCTTGCACCTTCCCCTGCAACCCAGAGCTGCTCTTCCGCTGCTTGCAGAGAGGGCGCTGTGGCATCCTTCTCACAGCAGTCTCCTCCCATTGGGGCCCCCATGGTGTGCCCTGCATGTGCGCCCTCCCTGCGCCTAGGCCAGGAAGACTCCATCACTGCATCTGTGCACATATTCCCAGCAGTATAGCATTACCAAAATCAACATTTTTCTTCAGTGAAAATAATACACAATGTCACTTTTAGGTGTTATCTGTGCAGGAGTGAATTTTCTGCAAGCAGCTCTCATGTGACTCAGCTACTGATTGGGCCTGATCACAAGGACTGCAAAATGGGTAGCCTGCTAGGAATGGGTGCTGATTCCATGGGAAAGTTCTATGGATTTGGTCCCACATGGGTGGGTCATGTAAAGGTTATTACTGCTCTCTGAGAGGCTTTCACAGAAAAATGACTCTCTCAGATGGCAAAGATAACATTTTAAAGGGGCCCCACTTTTACCTTACAAGTTCAGAGTCTATCACACATGATAAAGCAAGAGACAGTCTGATTTAATGAGTTTATATTCTAAAGTTGAATTACTGTATTCCTGGTCCCAGGAGTGACTCATGTTGAATGGGAATAGGAAGGTGTTCAAACTTTTGGGTCATGGAAGGCCAGAGTAAAATAACAGATTCCATCTTACTGATGAAAATGTGATTAGTAGATTGCAGAAATACCCAAACCTACCATACTTCTGTTTGGTTCTAAAACTTACATAGTAACATAGAATAGCCTCCTGGATCAGGCCAATGGCTCATCTAGTCCAGCATCCTGTTCCCGCACTGGCCAGCCAGGTGCCTGTGGGAAACCTGCAAGCTAAACATGGACACAAGAGCGTCTCTCCCCTCCTGTGGTTTCCAGCAGCTGGTATTAGGAAGCCTTGCTGCCTCTAACCTGGAGGCAGAGCAGAGCCATCCTGGCTGGTAGCCACTGACAGCCTTCTCTTTCATGAATTTCTTCTTCTACAATGTGGTGGCGGCTGTTGTCTTCCAGTATCAAATGTCCACAGGTTAACTGGTTAGCCATTTGCCTTGGCACTGTAGCTGAAGTGTGTGCTGTTGCTTCTTCCACCTCTCCCTCGTGGTGAGGACACAAGACTCCCTCCAGTTCCACTGTTGGCTTCTTCTGGCTCTTCTAGGCACATCAAAGTTGGTACAACAGTAATAGTAGGATAATAGATCAATATTATCAGGAAGACAGTGGGATCAGATTGCCCACAAGGGTGTGAGGAGTGTAGTCTTGTTAACTGAGGTTGCATACCCACCATACATTTAAAAGACACGCAAACAAATCCTGGGAACTGTAGTTTACCAGAGAATTGTTTTTTCTTGCTAAATTCTTGTCTCAAAGTTTTTACATTAAGTATCCTGTGAGAGGCCATAAATCTAAGCAACCTGGCTGTAGATTAACTTGGAAATAGTGGGCTCAGGAAAAACATTGTTCGGACTTCCGGGTTGGCGCCATCGCCGAATGGCGGACTCCCTCCGAGCTCCGGAGGGAGCCTGCTCGGCAGGGGCTGGGTCCTACCGCGCCGGCAACGCGGGGACCCTCAAAAACCACGGCCACGGAGGCCGTGGACATGGGTGACTTGGCTGGCACCGTTAGCGCCCTCCTGACTCGTGAAGGAGCCTTTTTAAAGGCTACGGATCGGGTGCCGGGGAGCGGTGTGGTGCTTTGAGTCCTCTGCTTTCCCTGCCGAGCGAAGCCGCATGCCATCCGGCGGAGAGCGCTGACTTCTTCCATTGAAAATTCGGACTTTTAACAACAACCCGTGAGTAATTTGGAAACTGGGTTTAAAAGGAGAAAAAAAGAAATTTTTTTTCGGATTTGGCACGAGCGGGGGGGGGGGGGATCCAAAAAGGAAGTCAGTCCCCCTCCCTACTGTAAACACTTTAAAACAAGGACTGAGTAACCAAGGTCCAGAAAGAAGTCTATTTCGGACAAAAAACTATAAGAACTGTGCTGGAGGAGAAGAGTGGAGGGAGAAGGAAAATGTACCCCCCCCCCGGGAACCGGGGCGATTCGCGAGAGAGCCTGGTGAAAAGAGACGGAGGCCTTGACAGCTGTCAAAGTAGCTGTCAAAGTCGGAAAACTTAAAGAGGACTTTGTTACGAGGGCTTTGCTAGTAATTTCGTTACAATTTGCCACGATTTGGATATAAAATGTCGAAAATATGGAACAACAATCGGACTTTTGGATCAGAGGAACAAAGTTACCATAATCCCCCTAGAGGGGTTTCGGGACATTACAAAGATGGTCGCAAGTGGAAAAATACTCTTGGAATTTTACAGGACTTGTTATCTCTTGGGAAAGCTGCAAAACTGAATTAGTATTTTGTCTACAGGGGTGTTTATATTAAAGGAGACAATAGAACTTTTCTATTGAAGAAAGGAAGGGACTGAACGTAAGTTTTTGTTCCTGAACAACAACAACTCCTGTAGAATTACTAAATTTCTGAATTAGGACGTTTTAGCAACGGAACAAGACAAGAAACTGGACTACAACATGGAAAGAACAATGGGGGAGCTTTAAATGACTAAAGAAATTAAAGGCCCTTAGGGGCCGTTTTTGGAATGGAAATTTGAAATTAAATATTATAAAAATAACTTTTAAAAAAACTGGCAAGGAATTGAGGGAAAATTTGATTATGGATCCAAGATCTTCAGGCAGACAACAGACAGACTGATGGACATGGGGAATCTAAACCGGGGAAGAGGGGGGGGAGATTTAGAATCCAAAGGCTGTGTAACTATTTTCTGAACTTTTTTTTATATACACTTCTTATCTTTTTTATCTTTATATAGTTTTTTATATTTTGTTGGGGCGATTCTATTAAAAAAAAAGGGAATTCGTGGAAGGAAAATGGGGTGGACCCTGGGGAGAGAATTTTTGATCTTTATTTAAGGCAATGATGATGACTGTATAAAATTAAATTTGAATATGGGGTTAAACAAATTAAGTTCTAAATTGGGAGTGAGAGCTTGTAGAATCAACGTTATGAAAGGGGAATATGGTAGGGATGGGGGAGGGGGGAGTCCCAGAAAGTGGGTAATGAAAATAAGGTTTTAAAGATATTCCATTTTTGTTTTATATTTACTTTTTGTATTTTGGAAACTTTAATAAATATGATTTATAATAAAAAAAAAGGAAAAACATTGTTCGAATTGTTTTGGAAAATTGGCCCAAACTTACTGTGCCTGTACCAAGTGAATTAAAATGTTTGTATGTGCAGATGAAAACCTGTGTTCATGATGACAGTGGATGGACTGCATAGTTTCAAGGATTTTTATGCTGGCCTCACTTTTACAGCAAATGAGGAGAGCAAAAGAGATGTATTTCAAAGTTTCAAAGATTTAGTTTAATATTTAGCATTTCTTATCTTAGTTTCTGAATGAGCACTATAAAACTGTTCAAGAATGTTAAGAGGAGATATTTCTGGTTCTTTAAAATATGCGCAACTTCTGTGGACTGTTGTCACAAAATCCCACATGTGATATATAGACTAAAGTAGAAGCTAATTTATATAAACAGCTTCTAAATCTTGAGAAACTCTGGTATACCCAAACCTCTGCTATCCATGAAACAGAACTGCATTAGCCTTTTGTGGGCAAATCCATGTTTTTTGCTCCTCCATTATAAAATCACCTTGCACGTCATAAGTCAAGTCATTAAGATTAAAGATTTTCCCTTAAACAAAAAATTATTCTGTTACACAGGGTGCACTGAATAGCCTGAGGTCTGGAATTGAGAGATATCCCTTTGTGTTAGTTCTGTCCCCAGATGTTTTAAACCAATACTTTTCTACTAGCAAGAATGTTAAAAGTGAGCATTTTGTCCACTCACAGCAAAATTGCTGGTTCCTTTCATGTAGTCCAGCAAACAGTTGTTTCTTTGTGATAGGATGCTTTGTGTGGTCTTTTTGAAGTCTGAATAAGGCACTGCTTTTTAAGAGATTGAATTTGTGCTTTGGGAGGGGGGCGGGAATTGGAGGTTCTGTGCACCGTTTGAATAATGGACTTGAATAATGTTCTGGCAGGCTCTCTTCCCAGTATGCTTAAAACACTGAGTTAGAAGCTGTTCCTTTAGTACAATGCACCCTACACTTTGAAAAAATGCATCTGGTTCAAGGATCTTGACATTTTCCCAGGTCCTGTATTTCCTTAGCAAGCTTGTTGTCTTTATATATTTAAAAAATGTGTGCAGGGCAAAAAAATTGAAATGTCCATTGAAGAATCTAGCAGTAAACGTATTAATTCTGCTGCCTCTTCTCCATCTCTCTCTCTGTTTGTGTGTGTGATTTTTTTACAGGTGCAAAGGACCAGGGCTTGAAGGTTGTCCTAATGGGTAACTATTGCTAATTATTGCTAATTAATTACATGTCTATACTGAACATAACCTGTATACACACCCCCATATTTCATGGTTAAAATGTGTTTTGCTTATGGCTAAAATATAATATTGAAACACTAGAAATCTAATGACCCTCTGAAAATACAACATAGATTTCCAATGTGTATATATTATAGTCCCTGGAAAGGTACAGTTTAAGCACAGCAAGTTAATATAATTTTGACTGTTCTGTAGTTTGCATTTTTTTTTTCTTATTCCTCTTCATATTTCTGTTTGTTAATCAAGGCTAATATGTAATAGTCAATTGATTTTTATGTTGATTTAGGCTGACAAAGCATACATGCTGGCTGTCACAGCTCTGCATTAATGTTTATTTATTATTAAATTTAAATACTACCCTTCATCACAAAATCTCAGGGTGGTTTACAACATAAGAGCAAGATTAAAACACAAGTAAATCATTAAAACTCCACCACCTCCCAAAATAAAGAATCCCCCACCACATTGCAAGGCTGTAGAATATTAATCTGCCCAACGCTTGGTTGAAGAGAAACGTTTTCACTTGGTGCATAAAGATATATGATGAAGGCAGCAGGTGAGCCGCCCTGGAGCAGAACTAGAAGAACGATCTGGTTTTATTTTGTCCCCCTTCATTTAAAATCAAGGTTTTCAGCTTGGGATACTCAGTAGACAGTGAGTTGCCTTCCTCACCCTCCTATGAGATTAAAGATAATTTCTTCTGTTTTTGCCTTCTAGTTCTAAGATCCCCTCCATTGCAGCTGGAGTTGTTGGAGGCATCCTCTGCTTTGTCGTTATCGCACTGGGCATTGGCCTTTACCTCCGTAGGCGTCGCATTGTTAGAAAACGTACTTTGCGCAGATTGCTGCAAGAAAGAGAGGTAGGTGCAGCACATTGTTTTGTAGTGTACTGCCCAAAACTGACACAAACAATGTATGCCAGGGTCTTGGAGTCTTTTGCAAATTATCAGTGCAAATAAGCAATTATTTCCTATTCATTGCATGGAATCCAGGTCTCTTCCCTCAAAGAAGCACATCGGGGGTGGGGGGAGATAACACTCTTTTAGCAGGACTCAAACAATTGTCTCTTCTTCCTAGGTAAATATGACTCTACTCATGTTACTCAAGGCCATTGTGCAATCAGTCATGGCCATGATATTATGCCATACTGTGACCCTGTTGTCCATGTTAATTCTGGACAGAACCTAGCTCATATTCGAGCAAAACACATTGGAGCCTCCATTTCTCCATGACACTGAGATTTCATACCTGACCTTGAGACTGTAATGATGGATTTGCTTACCTTGAGCTTTAAAAACAAGGCTCGCAATTTTGTGAGTTCCTTGCCTTGTACTACATTATGTTATTCAGGAAAATCAGGTGAAATGTAAGTTTGTCACCTGTTTTGCTTTTCTCAAAAAAAAAGAGAGGTAATCCTATCTGGGTTTTGTTTTTGTTTTTAATATAAAAAGTAGGAAGCCTGACACTTTAAACCATATTCTTTTGGTATTTGACAGCTTGTTGAACCCCTGACTCCCAGTGGGGAGGCACCAAACCAGGCACTCCTAAGGATTCTAAAGGAAACCGAATTTAAAAAAATCAAAGTTCTTGGCTCTGGAGCGTTTGGTACCGTCTTTAAGGTAAGGTCAGAAAAGGATTGAATGGTTCAGATTAATCAGTGTTCTCTCATTGTATGTTGGTAAAACATGTGCTTGCTTGGCTCAGGAGTAACGCTTCTTCGCTGCTCTTTCCCCTCCCTTAGTATAGCATTAAACTTTCACTGGCATAAATATAGTTTTTAAGCCAGAAACTGAAAATAGGATTAGAAACCATCTTTAAACTTTGGTTTAAAAGCTAATTTTGGTTACTAGTAATTGTGGTTACAACAGTGGTACAGATTTCAATTCTGCACCTAGTTAACATTAGGTAAAAAGGCCTTCTCGGTAGTGGCAACCGCCCTGTGGAACGCCCTCCCACTAGATGTCAAAGAGAACAACAACTACCAGACTTTTAGAAGACATCTGAAGGCAGCCCTGTTTAGGGAAGTTTTTAATGTTTGATGCATTACTGTATTTTTATATTTTGTTGGAAGCTGCCCAGAGTGGCTGGGGAAGCCCAGCCAGATGGGCGGGGTATAAATTAATTAATTAATTAATTAATTAATTAATTATTAAAAAGGGGAGGAGCCTGAAAGCCCATATTACATTCCCTGTTCCCTAGCCAGGAGATGGGGCCGTTTTAACATCTGATCTGGGCCATTGCTGCTGCCACTTCTCACTTTTGAGCAAGATGTTAATTAAAGCCTTTGCAAAAATCTCTACAAAAAGAGGAATTTTTGAGCAATTTTTTAGGAAATTCACCAAAATCTATACTTCTGACAGATTTTCCAAGACATTTCAGCGATTAGTGATTTCTGCCCAGATGCTGTTTACGAGGGCCGGATCCTAGCTATGTCTATGAAATTCCAGACATATGGTGGCCCTAAATCGAACTGGTGCATTATTCAAACCCCAGTCAGAGCATGAGAGGGTTGAGGTCTCTTCCTGCTGTATAATTCTATGATCATTTCCAGAAATTTTGTGATATATACTTAACCCTGAGGGGTTGCCTAGCTCATTGCTGGCTTCTGCGTTCACATCCCTGTTGATGTCTCCATATACTTTTCATGCAAACTTTTGCTCTTCAGCTCTATGCTAAATCTAACCTTTTTATTTTACAGGGGCTTTGGATTCCAGAAGGCGAGAGAGTTAAAATTCCTGTAGCAATTAAGGAATTGAGAGAGGCCACATCACCTAAAGCCAACAAAGAAATTCTTGACGTGAGTTCCCCCCCCCCCCACACTTTTGAAGCATTGAAATATTGGTTACTGCGATTTTATAGCATGAAGACAAATATAAATTTATGTTCATCCTTAATTGGGTTTGGAGGGGAGACACTTTACATTTTCCATCAACTGCTTTTAGGAAGTAATTCTAAAGTAAGGTAGCCATATTTCAAAAAGTTTTTGGGCTAAAGTTGTTGAGCTTCCAACATGGCTTGCCTTATGTCTAGATTTCCCCTGACATTTCAGCAATTTTCGCCCAGACACTGCTTCTGTTTGCCATATTCCAACTATGTCCGGGAAATTCTGGACGTATGGCAACCCTATTCTAAAGAGAACTCTTGCAGGCAGAGAAGGAGGTTCATGGCTAGAGATGCCCAAAGAGCTCCACCATTGTTCTACGGGAAGAGATTTGGCCCATGGTGGGGGCCAAAATGAGAAAGGCCGAGGGACTACAGGATTGTGGGGTGGGAAGAATTGGGGGAGTTGAAGATGCTGGGAATCTCAGGTGGAAGTTTTTTTCTCACAAAGTGGAAGTTGCTCCCAGTACCAATCACTACATGGAAGCAGAAAAAGGTTCAGATAGTCTACTGTTGCAGAAGATAAGGCTCAGCAAAACAATTCTGGACACGGATATATACAGCTTGTAGTCAGTGATGTGGCACAGGGGTGGCTGAGGGGGCCATCGCCCTGGGTGCAGTTTTGGGGGGGTGCATCAAGGCCTCGTCGGGAGCAGCTGTGTCCTTCTCAGTGCTCTCCAGATTTTATATTTGGTGGTGGGTTCTTTTTTAAAAAAATGTAAGTCGGTTTGAATAATAATAATAATAATAATAATTTTTATTTGTATCCCGCCCTCCCCTGCCGGAGCTGGGCTCAGAGCGGCTAACATCATGAGACAAATCAAATGGAGTAATCCACAAATAAATACAATAAATAATACAAACATAGATAAAACACACAGTGCCTATTTTGCTGTTGCTTCTGAAGTCCCACCTGCATGGGCCACTGTAGGAGCATTTCTGGAACTAAGAAGTCCCCTTTCTGTGTTGTGTTCTAGCATGCAGCAATCCTGTTGGGCAGTGGGGATAACACCCTTCCTCGCATTTTTCCTTTTCCACTGTTACATATACCAGCAGGATCTTCCATTAGTTCTGCTGCTTCCGAACTTTTCTGCAAGCATTAAAATCCAGTTCATTCTCCAGCCACAGCTCGTAATGACTTTATTAGGATAAGAGCTAATTCAGGAGATTTACCATCAAATACCACACATACTTGCAGCAGGTCATGGCGTACCTCAGAGATTTCCAAGATAAAGTGTAAAAACAAGAGCTTTGCTGTAATTTCTCAAAGCATTTTAAAGAACAGATGACTGCACAATGGCTTCATTATTCTTTCTTTGAGGGTAGGCGTCTGTTTCACTTGGCGGTATCAAATTTAATAGGCTCTGTCAAATTCTGGAACAGCTCCATATTCTGTGTGGCTAACATATACACACATCCCATACAATTAAATTCCCAGTTTAGTAGACTGCAGGTCAACTTTTGCAGGAGGGTGAGTTGGACTTTAGCACAGTTTGGGGAATATTGACTTAACTAAAAAATTAATACAGCATGTATCTGACATAACAGGAAGCAGAGGAAGAAGCAAATTTGGTTCACCATTCTGATTCAGCTACAGTAAATGGCAGTATCACAAGTCTTTAAACTTTCCTCGAAATAACTTTTTACAAAGTTTTGTTAATATAAGTATGTGTTACACACACACACACTACATTTTACACACATATCTACACCAATGTTTATATTCCCAGTCCCCAGAACTCAGGGTGTAGTGTGTACCATCAAGGAAGGAAGGAATTAAATAACAGCAACCACAACAACCTAGCAGTTCGAAAGCACCCCCGGGTGCAAGTAGATAAATAGGGACCGCTTACTAGCGGGAAGGTAAACGGCGTTTCCGTGTGTGGCTCTGGCTCGCCAGAGCAGCGATGTCACGCTGGCCACGTGACCCGGAAGTGTCTCCGGACAGCGCTGGCCCCCGGCCTCTTGAGTGAGATGGGCGCACAACCCTAGAGTCTGTCAAGACTGGCCCGTACGGGCAGGAGTACCTTTACCTTTACCTTTAACCACAGCAACCACCACATAAGAAAAGTTGGAGCTGCAGCAGATACTACAATTGCCAAGAGAAGCTTCTGAAAACTGACTCCACATAGTGAATAATCTCTGCCACATGCAGAGGATGAGTGCTGGATTAAACCCTGTGGAGGCCCCCCCCCCGGGCAGTCAAAATCTCAGGGGGCCCTTGTGCACACACTGTAGTGGAATAACACTGAACTAAGAAAGCTTGAGTATTATTTTGATTCACTGTTGCGGGGCCCCTAAAAGGTGTAGGGCCCTTAGGCTGGTGCCTACTCTATTTGGTAATCCAACACTGCAGAGAATGGTTATCCAATGTTCGTTAAGCTCAGTGGTTTTTTTTCTAAAAAAAAATGTTTAGGGGAACTACTACTACTACTACTAATAATAATAATAATTTATTCTTTATACCCTGCCCATCGGGCTGGGTTTTCCCAGCCACTTTGGGCGGCTTCCAACAAAATATTAAAAATACAATAAAACATCAGATATTAAAAACTTTCCTAAACTCCCATTTTCCTACGCATATTGAAATACTGCCCTTCAATGAGGCCAAACTTAGATTCACAAAATGTTTAGTGGTATGTGTACTCCTGCGTCTCCCCAGAAAAAAGCACTGATTAAGCTTAAATCCATTGGTTTCATTGGATCTACTCTGCATATGACTTGGACTAGTTCACCATGTTCCATGATGGGGAACCTTAGTCTCAGGGCGGCAGGAAGCAGTTAGAAACCTCTGACTTTTGGATGACTGGAATGTATCCTACTGAGTTAGATCAGTTGCTCTGACCACTTTTTCTCCTGGCCCTGACCCCACTGGCATGTGGCCCCCAGAAGGTTCCCCAATAAAAAATGTGACCCTCGGGCTCAAAAAGGTTCTTCTCCACCCCTCTGTCTGCAGGAAGCGTTTAACTCTGAAATGTAGGGCTTTCCACTTGCACTTCGTATTTATGCAGCCGTTCTACCGACTCATTCTTTATAACAATCTTTATATTTATTAAAATGTAGAGTCATGTACAAAGCGTGATGAACACAGCCTAATTACTTAACAATATCATTTCATGAGCTTCTTTCCCCTCCTCTTTTTCCTGATCAGGAAGCCTATGTCATGGCCAGTGTTGACAACCCCCATGTCTGCCGTTTGCTGGGAATCTGCCTCACCTCCACCGTTCAGCTCATCACGCAGCTTATGCCGTATGGCTGCCTTCTTGACTACGTTCGAGAGCACAAGGATAACATTGGATCCCAGCACCTTCTCAACTGGTGTGTGCAGATTGCAAAGGTAAGTAAACTAAGGAATTAAGTTCAACTAGCTGCTCAACTAGCTGATATTATCCAATTGAAAGAGCTAGCTGAAGCAGACAGAAGGGAATTATTACATCCACCAGGAATTCTGGATTTTTGGGAAGCTTTTTTTGAAAACTCAGCTGAATTTTAAAACTATCTAGCACACAATGTGGATTGGTGCTGCATATTATTTTTCAAAGTTAAAACACACACTGGGGTAAGTAGTGTTAGTCTTGAAGCCAAATCTGCTTGTCTAGAAATCGTAGCAAATCCATCACACGGGCAGGAAACCAGATCCCAAAGGTGCTCTTCCACAGAGTTCATTCCTTTATTTCTTCCTATGGCTTTGAAATAACATTTTCTGAAGGACGTTATCTTTAATTATCTGAAGCATAGAATTTTTCTCAGCGCAAAAGTGTCTCAAGAGGCAGTTCATAACCTTCCTAATAAAAAAGGGAGGGGATTTTGAAGTGGAATATCAGAGTACTATGAGAGATGCAGTTACTATCAATAAATCTAGAAACTAGTATATAATCAAATTATGCTGTAAATCACCTCTTTTTCTAGGATTGGATCAAATAGAATATTACCTAATACATGGCATTCCAGTTATATTATAGCATAATACAGGCATATACTCAATTGTGGAAGGAATAGCTGATTTAATAAACTGGAACTATTTAAGTCCTTGACTGAGGTTACTCTTGATAGGATTTTATTGGGGTTGTTGATTTGATTTGATTGAGAATAACAGCTCATTAAACAGCTACATTTATTTCATGAAAACAGCTTTTCTTGTGGCCTTCTGCCAGTTTGCTAGGGTAAGTTGTTTGGCAACATTGGGAGGCCTTAGCACATTGTGGGAGTTCATCTGAAAATGTTTAGTAGATACTGTGATGTTGGTCCAAGGTTAATGGAGAAAGGATGGGGGTGGACACTTGGGAGAAAAACATTTTCCTATTACTGTGTCATCGTCACATTTCTGTTTGGGGGGATTTCACCCTCCGCCCAAGCATTAATGGGCTTTTTCTCTGTTGGCCTCTTTCAAAAATGAGATGATTGTAGTTCTTTCAAAGGCTCCATTTTCACAAGCATATAAGAATGCCAGTGTTTCATAATGTGTAAAGGTTCTGGTTACAGTTATTAACAGTCATGTACCAACAATGACAACTACAAAACAAGGGAAGTATTTGTTATTACTATAGAATATCACAAATATAGTTTTATTACTTTAGCATGAAAACATAAATTCTGCTATTTGTTAATGGTGTAGAGAATAGAGGATTTCTGCCTTCACAGTTTTTAGCCCAAAGATGCAGCATTTTCCACCACCCATGTGACAAATAAATTTGCTCTTGCTGCTGCTCTGAATCCCTCTGTTTCCTCTGTGAAGTTCTGAATTGAAAGAAGCTGTATATAGAGATCATTTGGATTAATATGGTGACACATATTTGTGATGTTATGACCATTTAAGATGAGTTGATATCTTAGTTGACTTGTTGAAAGCAGTGATTTGAATGTATCTGCGTAGATTTCAGCACATGGAGAAACATTCCTATAATTCCTTTCCCATACATGCAACATTTAATACTATGTATATTTACCGATCTACACTCAAATCTCAGTTGTCGAACCTAATCTGTTCCAGAAACCTGTTCAGCTTCTGAAATGTTTGACAACTGAGTCTGGTCACCAGGGAAGACAGAGCAGCTTTGCCCAGGCGTTATTGGACTGCACATCTTTGGCCAGTGACCATGGAGGTGTTGGAGGCTATGTAGTCCCAAAACATGAGAATCCAGAGTTAGGAACTGCTGTAAAACACAAGATCCAAAGTTGGCACCTAAACCTGGCAGTGGACTCTTACCTTCCTAGGTATTGGAAGGATCTTTGTGACAATATATACTTAGGCAGTATAAGCCTAAAAACATCTAATCACTTCTCTACCTTTGCAACCATTTCCCACAATGGTGAAATCTCGTTGGAACTGGCCATTTATTGTATGGAGCGATAGTCCTTTAATATTCTACGTAGCATGGCTATTGGTGTGGGGCGATAAAAAAAGATTTTTACAGCTATTTATTGGATGCAGGGAATGAATTACCTGGAGGAACGTCGTTTGGTACACCGTGATTTAGCTGCCCGGAATGTCCTGGTTAAGACTCCTCAGCATGTGAGGATCACAGACTTTGGACTGGCCAAACTGCTTGGTGCAGAAGAAAAGGAATACCATGCAGAAGGAGGAAAAGTAAGAAAAATCATTCCTCTTGGTTTGTTTGATAGAATTCTGGTGCATTTCTGTCTCAAGAGTTTTTGAATCACTCCCATACAGTCCCTGAAGAAACCTCTTGCCCACATAAGACAACAAAGAGCCTGATCCAGCGACCAGGCCCGTCTAGTCCAGCATCCTGTTCTCACAGTGGCCAGCCTGATACAGGAGCTGAGCGCAAGAGCCCTCTCCCCTCCTGCCTTTTCCAGCAACTGGTATTCAGAAGCATTCCTGCCATTGTGGCAAGTAGCCATTGATAGCCTTATCCTCCATTCATTTGTCCAGTTTTCTTTCAGAGCCATCTCAGCGGGTGGCTATCACTGCCTCCTGAGCTGAACTACATGCTGAATTAGTAATTACTTTGTTTTATCTGTCCTGATTCTTCCAACATTCAGCTTCATTGAATGTCCATAAATTCTAGTGTTATAGGAGAAAGCAAAAAAAAAAACCCCTCCACTTTCTTCAAGCCAAGCATAGCTTTATAAACTTACAGCATGTCACCTCTTACTCAGCTGTTCTCTAAACTAAAAAGTCTCAGATGTTGCAACCATTTCTCATTGCTCCAGCCCCTTGATCGTGTTGTTTCCCCTTTTCTGAACATTTTCCTAATATACAATACCTTAGATGACAAAAACACATTGAAATTTAAACTGATAAACAAAGCACTGGCATTACTATGTTACTTATCTGTGCTAGCAGCCATCTGTTAAACTCTGCTCAATAGAAGCAGCTATGCATGGTAATAATATGTGTTATAAATGGAAAGTGTTTTATCGGTGGCAAACTTCTAGTTTACATATTCTGAACAACAGTTTTATGCAACATAAATATTATTACCAGGCCCAAATTGCATTCTGTTCTTCTGTTTAATTGGCTGTCTTCTTACATCCAGTTTTTCAAAATAACTCATCCTTGCGCTCATCCCAATTGTTTCTCAGTGCTTACTATTTAGCATTCAGATTTAGCAATTACATTGCTATCTTCCTAGGTTCCTATTAAATGGATGGCACTGGAGTCTATTCTGCATCGCATTTACACCCACCAAAGTGATGTTTGGAGTTATGGTAAGTCTGAAAAAAGTGCTATGCTGATTCTTGATAGGCAGCTGAGCAGATTTTATGATCTTCTGAAAGAGCTCATTTTCCCCCATGATGTTTATAAGAATATATTTAATAGGAAAAGTTATTGAACATTATGATTATAAACGCACAAAACATTTCACTAATATGTATGTGAGGAAAGGGAATAATGGATTTTTCTCAGGTGTTTATCATAATTTTACACTTCAGTTCCTAAACAATTTCTTAAAAGAAGTGTAGATTAGTGCAGGTTAAGGCTTTGTTCCTCTGAGGCAGTAAAGCTGTGTCTGGGCTGTACCACTTCAGACTACAGGTGGGGGGGCTCAGATGATGGATTGCACCTCCCATACAAAAAAACCTCCAGATCACTTGTATAGGTATCTAATGTATCAACAACAATGCCGGGATAGGACCCCTTTGAAAACACCTAGCTTCTGATGAGACAGCAGGCAGGCAGGCAGAGTCCAGAAAGGCTCCCTCACAGAGAGAATCGTTCGCCACCCCCTGGAGCCTTAAGGTCATGTGGGACACCCTTATCGATACCAGACAGCAACAAAACTCGCCTGCTTAGTAATGACATGATCCATCCCTCAAGCAACTCCTCCTCCCACCCGTGAACACTGAGACTGGGTGTCTCAGTTCATCCTCCCTAGTGGAATGTGCCCCAGCAATTCCGGGCCCATTCCCAGGGCAGGCCTTTCCCTCTCCCCTGAAAACAAATTAATTCAGCCTGGCTGGCTGTGCCCTTCCTGGCATAAGCCCCCTCCACCTATCAGGAACCAGATCCTATGCCTGCCCCCTGCTTTGGCGAATGGGGATGCAGGCTGGGACTTGGGCTGTGCAGGGGGTGGAGCCAATGGAGTTGAGGGTGGGCTTCCCTTGGATCCGCCCCTCACACATTTAAGCAGCCAGCACAAATTAAAACAACTCTCAAATAAAACAACACCAACCTTTAAAACACCCAAGTTAAAAACCACATTCCCATTAAAACAATTTTACCATGGGGGGCTGACCCATGCCCTCATTCCACCCCCAAAGTGCTGCCCCAGCAGCTGGTGTAGGCCTAGCTGGGGCAGCAGATGTTTTCAGTGCTGCCTGCCCGCCCAGGGTCATAGTCCCTGCAGGCCTCTCTGCAGTCCTTTCACGCCCCCAGACAACAACTGCACATCTGCAGGCGAACTAGGAGTATTCTTCCCTATAGGATGAGTCTTTAACATTCTGGTTTGCTATGACATTTCAGGTGTCACAGTTTGGGAATTGATGACATTTGGATCAAAACCATATGATTGTATCCCAGCCAGTGAAATTTCCTCTGTCTTGGAGAAAGGAGAGCGGTTGCCTCAGCCTCCCATTTGTACAATAGATGTCTACATGATCATGGTCAAATGTAAGTCAATTCCTTGATTAAATGTCTATATAAACACTGTGCTGAAAATGTGTTGCTCTACAAATGGGCAGCTCACAGGATCCGTACCAGCCACAAGTTAAGCAAGGTTGTATCCTAGCACCTGCACTTTTTATATATAAATGATATTGTCCAGAATTTAACATCCCCAGAATATCATGCCCCTAAATTGGCCACAAAAGCCATCTCTATATTACTATACACAGATGATGCGGTACTTCTATCTCAAACGAAAGTGGGTCTAAAAAGATTGATGAGGGCATTCTCAGGATACTGACAAAGAGAACAGCTGGCTGTGAATTACAAGAAAACCAAAGTCATGCTGTTTTCAAGAAACTATAGGGCCCATAGATGGTATATGGATAATCAGTTGATCAAACAAGTAAAAGTCATTAAATACCTCGGCCTTACTTTTCAGTCAACGGGGTCATGGAGAGCACATCATGACATGCTTTTCCATACAAAAGGTGGCAATCTCATACCATCAGCACTTGAAGTGTTTAAAGCTAAACCCCAGCACAGTTATTATGTGGGACTTAGATTTGGACAGGCGCTCACCTTGGATCTACAGAAGCTGTTCAATCTAAGTTCTTAAGGCATTTTTCCCCTGTTCCATCCTGTGTTCCAAATGCTTCATTGGTCTTGGAGACTAATCTCCCCTCTGTTGAATTAGATTTGGTGTAGGGCATTTAATTATTGGCTTAGGCTAAATTTAAACCCCACTGGTCTATTACCCTTAGATTGTCATGAGAGCACTTGGAGTAAAATTGTCAACCAAAAGTTTTACTTTTCTGTTTTATCACCACAACAGTTATTAACACTGGGCTTCAGTAAAGCAAATAATTTAATTAGACAGTGCCTATATGATATTGGGGGTGCGGGTGGCGCTCTGGGTTAGACCACAGAGCCTAGGGCTTGCCGATCGGAAGGTCGGCCATTGAGCTCCCATTGTTCGATCCCAGCTCCTGCCCACCCAGCAGTTCGAAAGCAAGCAGTGCAAGCTGATAAATAGGTAACTCTGGCGGGCAGGTAAACGGCATTTCTGTGTGCTGCTCTGGTTCACCAGAAGCGGCTTAGTCATGCTGGCCACATGACCCAGAAGCTGTACGCCAGCTCCCTCGGCCAGTAAAGCAAAATGAGCACTGCAACCCCAGAGTCGGTCACGACTGGACCTAATGGTCAGGGGTCCCTTTACCTTTATATGATATTGAGCGACAGAATGATTTGGCCACGATAAGGAAATTTTGTCCATGGTATGATTATTTTCTACTTACGCAATATGATTATTTTCTACTTATGCAAGATTGAATATACTGCCTTCAGCAGTACCTGAGGGTCGATTTCAAAAAATTCCGCTGGAAAAACAAGTTATGTCCATGTGGAGATGGCAGTATTGAGTCAGTGGCTCATGTGCTTCTAGCTTGCACTGTATTATTTATACCCCGCCCATCCAACTGGGTTTCCCCAGCCAAATGTAATATGTTTAAGTTGGAGAATGACAATGAGATAGTGTGGTAAATCACTGCCAGTTTTTTCTATTGGATAGTAGATCATAGCCTACTGGAGGCTGGACATGCCTGTTCTAGCAGATCATGATACCCAGGTGACAGCAAAAACCACAAAAAAAATTAGCAGGGGCAATTAGAATAAGATCTATTATTTGATTATTGATGTGAACCTCCAAAACATATTTTGTATAGTTAAGTTTCTACCTCTGTCTCAGTACATTGTATTTTATTTTATTGCTATGGCTATGCAAATAAAGATTCTTCTGATTCTGATTCCTTGTATGTGTTAGCATGGTTCATTGAGTAAGAAAGGCGATTACAGTATACCTTTTTAAAACAATATGCTTAAGATTGCCATTCATTGGGAAATATGACCCCAGTTACAATTCACAAGGCAGTGTTGTGGAATTGCCCCATATATAGGTGAAACTCGAAAAATTAGAATATCGTGGAAAAGTTCATTTATTTTAGTAATTCAACTTAAAAGGTGAAACTAACAAATGAGATAGACTCATGACATGCAAAGCGAGATATGTCAAGCCTTTATTTCTTATAATAGTGATGATTATGGCATACAGCTGCGATGGATTATGCTGGCTGGGGCTTACCTGGGCCCCCACAATATTTTATTCAAGTTGGCATCCCTGATTCTACTTAAGTATGAATCTTTTCTCCCTCCTTAAACGGTATATAAGGAACCTGGTAGAAGTGTTCTTTTTCAGTTTAAGGAAAGGTACATAAAATCATCCACTAGGTGGCATTAAATACTTCATTTTGAATTTATGACAGATCTGCTGTAAATTACAAAGCTAAAGCTAAATTCACATCAGGAAAGTACATTTACTGAAACCAACCCAAGTGTTCACAAAAGTATGGCAGACCTCTAAGTTCTCCAGAACTCTTAATCAGACAAGATAATAAACAAAGTAAGGGTACCAAAAAACAAAAACAGAAATTATGACAGTATTGTGCTAGTGGATTCTGTTTTCAGATGGAGATTGCAGACAAAATAATCCCCCCGCCCCCCAGTGTTACAGATATCAGGTTATAGACCTAGGATTTTTTGGAGTAAAGAAGCAATGGTGGTTTCCCAATTCTAGCGATCGTTTAGTGTTCAGTACTATGCAAGGGAATCGGAAGTTTCTGGTTCCTTTTATAGTTTACGTTTTTACTAGCAGATGTTCCTGGTTTTTCAAGTGTCACTTTGAACTCTGTCCCCTCCCTCCCTCCCTCTCTCTCTTTTCTATCTTAAGGTTGGATGATTGATGCAGAGAGTCGCCCCAAATTCCGGGAGCTGATAGCAGAATTCTCCAAAATGGCTCGGGACCCCCAGCGCTACCTGGTTATACAGGTATTGACCATCAGTAATGTGGTGACTACTTTTTTAAGGGAAGCAATAAGAAAGAAATGTATGTTAAGATTATTTTAGCATAATAAAATTATTTTATTTTAAAGTGGCTGAAGTGGTGCAAAACAGTTGTTGCTGTTTTCTATAAAGCTAAAAACAAAAATTTCAATGTCTCAGTTGGTAAATTAAACGCAAGTTATATAATCTGGTAACATGATTTTGATTTGTAATCCATATTAGCTCTTGAACTATTCATCAACCAGACAGAATGCTTTTGGGATTTTCCATTAGCAGTGATCCAGTGGACATCTCTGCTAACAGAAGGCAGGAGGCAGTTTTTGCAGCTCTTCCAATAATGGAAGGACGTGCTAAGCAGCACCCCACCTCTGAAGGGGGCTGTGTTGTGTAGCAAAAATTATGACAGTCCTCACTCAGCACCAAATTTTGCATGAACCCAAATTTCAGTGTAAATTTAGAGGTTTCAGCTCCGGCAAAATTTCTGAAGTAAGACTAGTGAAACTTCTTAAGGTGGGTTCTACACATCCCAACTTCAGTCACCTGGACTGTTGTTGGCACACTGAAAATGAGCTGCCTGTGGAAGAACAAGGGCAAAGGCCCACAAGCATCATCATTAAGACTTCTGCCAGGTGTCTGGTGAACCACTTTGGAAATAGGATGCTGGACTAGCTAGATCTAGTGCTACAGTGAAGCAGCTGCCATGAATACAGAACTTTGCCATTCTTGGTCTCAGTTTGAATTTGTATTTTATGGCATGAGCTGTTGGGAGAAATGATAAATGTCTACCTGTGATTAATGGTGCAACCCCAAATCACAAATTCTCATTGTGGTTTGCCTCCTGACAGGGTGATGAAAGAATGCACTTACCAAGCCCAACAGACTCAAAATTTTACCGAAGCCTGATGGAAGAGGAAGACATGGAGGACATCGTGGATGCAGATGAATACCTCATTCCACACCAGGGATTTTTCAGCAGCCCATCAAACTCACGGACACCTCTCTTAAGTTCATTGGTATGGAATTATTTCCAAAAAGTTTCCATATTGAGAAAAGTCCAGGATGGTAGCCATGCTAGTCTGTTGTTGTTGCAGCAGCAGCAACAAAACCAACAAATGCAGTAACACTTTAAATGCATTGTGGCATCAGCTTTCCTGGTTCATACCTTTTGCCAAAATAAACGTTAATGTTTTCAAAACAGTTTTTATAAGTATGAAATGCACTCGGGTAATCTAGTATGTTTCTTCCGTTAAATCAAAAACAATGAAACTTTTTCCCTCTTCTTCTATTTTAGAGCGCTACCAGCAATAATTCTACAACTGTAACCTGTATTGATAGAAATGGGGTAAGTCTGAATAATTCAGGACCACAGGCAGAAACTGTGAAACTGTTCCACAGCTTTTTCGATATCACTGAGTGCTTAAAACGAACACAGGTCATGGAGGTTTCTCTTTAGATTTGGGATGGCTGTGTTGTGCTATTAGAAGCAGTGTGCCATACACCTTGTTTTAATCAATGCCTTCCCCTAACCAGCAGGGCTTTCCAGTGAGAGAAGACAGCTTTATCCAGCGATATAGTTCAGATCCAACTGAGACATGCCTGAATGACAGCCTGGATGATAGCTTCCTACCTGCTCCTGGTGAGTACACAGAGTTCGCCAAATCTTTGTGTTAATTCTCAGGCAAGCGGATTTAGTCTTTAGAGAGGGCATCTGTTCTCCCGTTGTATATGCAGAGAATCATGACAAAATTCACACAACTTTTCTCATGTCTCTTTTTGCCATTCCCCAAATAGTTAGTTCCGTGATTTTCTTGCTTTGAACTGTAATGAGGAGTAGTAACACAGATATCTTGGTCACTGGATCAACATGTTATGTTCCAACACACAGCATCTGAGCAGGTTGCCTTTGAGATGAGAGAGGGAGATTTCTTAAATGTTATTTTACTTTGTCAATTTATAAGCATCTGTAACTCTCAGGGCACTTGCATTAAAATAAGAAAAACAAAGAAATAAAGGCTCAGAAGCCTTGGCAAAAAAACTCAAAAAAACAAAGACCTGCCAAACCTATTGGCAAGCAAGCAGGGGGTAGATGTATCTGCTATTACAGGGCATGTTGCTTCTGACTGCCCAACAATGCCTAGAATTGGTCTTTGACATCATAAGTTCATGTGCCTAACGGGAATTTTGATGTGCACACAGTTGTATGCTAAAAAGGCATATTAAATGTGCACAGCTTATATGGAAGGGGGGGAAACTAATGTGAATAAAATAAAGGAACCAAAAGCTGCAATGAGAGTACATTGTACATATGAAACACAACCCAAAAAGCATATTGTTGTTGTTGTTGTTTAGTCATTTAGTCGTGTCCGACTCTTCGTGACCCCCTGGACCAGAGCACGCCAGGCACTCCTGTCTTCCACTGCCTCCTGCAGTTTGGTCAAACTCATGCTAGTAGCTTCGAGAACACTGTCCAAAAAGCATATTAAAAAGCATATTAAAAGTATCTTATTAAGTTCAAAGTGAGAGGATTTTAGGAGTAGCCAAAGAGCTCACAGCTCAGTTATATGCAAACTAATTTAGGTCAACCCTGTCAGTCCCATATGTTGAATCACAATTTGGCCACAGAATCATTTTTTCCCCTAAAATGCTTTGTCATGAGAAGTGCAATACCCACAGGAAAATTTTGTTTTCTTGTCCCTGGATTAATTTCCCCTCATGCTCCTATATGAACATGATTAGCTCTGGTTACACTCCAGAATGTTCTGTCAGCCTTTCACCTACTGAAGGGCATATCTAGTTCTTTGAAATTATTTCCTTATTTGACTGAAGATAATGTTAAGTCATGTATTTGCCGATCTTAATTCTCTTGCAACCATTTTCAGAATACGTGAATCAGCTAGTGACCAAAACACCACCTGCTTCTGTTGTGCAAAATCCAGTCTACAACAATCTCTCTCTTACCCTTGAGCCTAAGTCTGTGGCTGATTCAAACCATCAGAATTCCCGCAGTACGGCACTGGACAACCCTGAATATCTCAACACAAGCCTCTCTCCGTTTGCTAACACAGTTTTCAACAGCTTGCCCTACTGGGATCAGACAACCAACCACCAAATAAATCTGGACAATCCCGATTATCAGCAAGACTTCTTGCCCAAGGAGAACAAAGCCAATGGCATCTCTAAGCTTCCTGCAGCTGAGAATCCAGAATATCTCAGGGTAGCAGCACCAAAAGTTGAATACATTCAAGCCTCGGCATGACTACCAAAAGAGACCTCTTGTGGCACCAGAAATGCGGGTGACATTGCCGGCCGCTACAGAAACAGGTGAGAGCAGCTCCACCATGCACCTATTTCCTTCTGGATGTGCGAGTTTATTTCATCCAGTTTGCTTAGGACTTATTCTGTCTTTATCAAAGACGTGATATGGAAAGAAAAGACAACATCCAGCAAGCAAGAAATTGTTGTTGCATTCATTTATTTTCTTTACAGACTATATTGGATTACAGCCTATATTTTGTAAACATTTGTGATATTTTTAAGAGCTTTTGTGAGATCAAGAAGACCAGATATTGAACTACTTCATGTCACATGGATCATTTGAGATGGAGAGAGGTGACACAAGATATTTCGCTGTCTCCTAAGCTTGTCTGTCGTAAGATTTAAAGAAAAACTCCCTGTACATTGGTCCGGGTTTTCTTATACAAATGAGAAGAAAAAGGCACTTGGGGAAAATGTGGAGATTCTGCTTAAGATATTTCTCAGAAAATAAAACAGGTTGCAGAGAATGTGATCAGCCCTGGTCAGCTTAGCAAAAGAACATGCCTACAGCACACACTGCCACCTGACCACTACTGTTGGGAACTCACTAGACTGTCTCTAAAATGCTCACCAAAGGCGTGGATGGCATTCGGGGGCGGGGCGGTTTTTGTCTTCTGGCTCCAATATTTTCTCTAGAGTTATAAAAAATGAGTTTTAAAGGTTTGACTAAAAAGCTTTAAATGAGGAGGGGTGCTTTTTATAAACAAAACACATTCCCAGTTCACTGCCTTGATGGCATTTAGACAATTAGTATAAATTTAAACAGTGAGGAAATGCAAAGGTTGCAATATGGCTGAAGTAGGCTGAATATGGGCACACTGTTCTCCTGCACAAGCCCTATAGGAATTAATACTTTCGCAAAGCTCCCATTTACCTTAATAAATGAACTGTGTGCAGGAGAAGTTCCTATTGATTTCTAATTTACTGGTGTGAGTAGTGGAGAGAGAATCAATTACAGCCCTAAAGGTAAAGGTAAAGGTACCCCTGCCCATACGGGCCAGTCTTGACAGACTCTAGGGTTGTGCGCCCATCTCACTCTAGAGGCTGGGAGCCAGCGCTGTCCGCAGACACTTCCGGGTCACGTGGCCAGCGTGACAAAGCTGCATCTGGCGAGCCAGCGCAGCACACAGAACGCCGTTTACCTTCCCGCTAGTAAGCGGTCCCTATTTATCTACTTGCACCCGGGGTTGCTTTCGAACTGCTAGGTTGGCAGGCGCTAGGACCGAGCAGCGGGAGCGCACCCCGCCGCGGGGATTCGAACAGCCGACCTTTCGATCAGCAAGTCCTAGGCACTGAGGCTTTTACCCACAGCGCCACCCGCGTCCCTCTACAATGATTTTTTTCTTGAATAAAACACCAGTTAATACACAGCAGTTATATTAGGAAAGCAGGGGCTTAGGATTAATCACCTGTACTTGATCACCAAAATTTTACTCACAAATGCACTGATAATGCAAGAATTTCAGACCAATCCACTGATTATATGTGAAAGTACTATTAGTTTTATAAACTTGTGGATTCATTTTCACCTTCTGCAGTGCAGCCCCAAATCAGCAGCCAAGCTGATTTTGAAATTGAAATTACCTTTTTCCTGTTACACATGGAAGGTGTTTCAAGAGGTAGCTTTCATTGTTCTGCTATCCCTCATCAAGCCCCAAACTTATATAATGTCATGACAACAAATTTTCATTGAAAGTGAGAGGGAAATTAACAAACTATTGATAGTTTTTCTTGAGCCACCTAGCCCTTGTAGGACCCATTCAATGCAAAATAACTTACGTGGCTCATGTTGTGATGCAATACAGTCCATAAATGAGAACGCTTCATGTACAGTAGCTTAAAATTGTCTCTCTGTTATTAAAAGTAGAACAACCATCATAATAGTAAGCAGACTCAAGCCATTTTCTTTGAACTTACGTTACTGTAATGCTGTTCAAAAATATGCACTGATTCTGACCCACCTACCTTCATTCCATCATACAATTCCTCAGGCCACGTTTCAATTAAATTTACTGTGGCTTCTGATTTGATTAGATCCACTGAGGTATCTCATGTTTTATATTGAAAAATCCACCTGAACTCACAGTCTTTAAAATCATTTATCATAGAATCATATAATTCTAGAGTTGGAAGGGACCCCAAGGGTCATCTAGTCCACCCCCCTGCAATGCAGGAATCTCAGCTCAAGCATCCACGACAGATGGTCACCCAACCTCTCCTTAAAAACCTCCAGGGAAGGAGAGGCCACAACTTCCCGGAGTAGACCATTCCACTGCTGAACTGGAACACACACAAAACAGATATATTATTTAATTCCTGACTACTACTGTTTTATCAAATTGTGGATTTATTTCCTAAAAAGATTAAATACATGAAGAAATCACATTTGTTCTGCATAGTAGTTGGTTAGGCCCTGGGCCTTGAGATTACTCTTCCATGCTAAACTAAAGTCCAGGTTATTGGACAAAGTTATTGTTCACAACAGTTCATTTGCAATGTGCCATCCTCCTTCCACTCTCATTGGGGTTTTGGAGCTATAATGGCTCTTCCATACCCCCCCCCCCCGGCTGCACCAGCGTTTGTCCTTCAGGGAACCTAGGCCAGTGCCATTGTATAAATAGCTGACCTGTCTTCTGTTCCCACGTTAGTCTGGGCTTCTATGTCAGTGGCATTTAGGGGCGCCACTCTCCACTTTCTCCCACACCACTGGAGCAAGGCTCTGCTTATTGCAATAAGGATGAATTGATACAGTGCCTTTCTCCCGCTTGTGATTTACATTACAAACCTCTTATATAAAGTTGGTACAGAACTCAGTCTATACCAACAAACCTGAGGCAAAAATCACAACATTGGTAATGATCTAATAGTGGTGTGTGGAGACCAGTTCCTCTTCAAGAGGGGTTGTTTACACACAGGTACTAAAACATAAATTACATGTGCATGTTATGTGAATTATTGTCGGGGGGGCGGGGAGACCATAGCTTCCTTGCCATACCTCTATACATTGCACATTAGACTGTCCCACATGCATGTTTCCAGGTGGACGGAGTATAAATAATAAAATTATTAGTAGCAGTATTTCTTTCTCAACTTCCATAGCACACATGCATCGACTGTACCAGTTGAATGAAAGCAGTTCAGTTTTGCAGGTAGTTGAGATGTCTTCCATGTGTGCACCAGAACATTATGCAGCATAAAAAACCAACATATATGATGGTCATGTGCAGTGATTCCTACACTGGGATCTCGTATTGATTCCTGCACCAAAGGTGTTTTTAGATACACAGTACATGGTGACAGCAGCTGTGCAAGACCCTTTGCATTTCCTGACAAGCATTTCATTTTTGAGACCTAGAAGTTCCGTACAGGCAATAGCACAAAAACTGCTACCCTACCTCTTCAATGTCAGCTGTTGTTAACATTGCTCTAATTTTTCTATGATTTACATTTCTCTGTGAGAAAATATTTTAGGTGGGACAAGTGAGCATTGTCTTTTCTTTTTGCACCTCCTCGTTCTTGTCAAAATGTGTAGTAAAAATTTTGTGAACTTTATAAAAATTTCACTGTCGGGGTAGCACTTAAAAAGTTTTATAATAATCTTAAATCACCATGAATTTGTGATATTTTTTTCCTACTGAAAACTCATTTCATATTTTATTTCCCCAATATTTTTCACTTCCTTTGCTTTTTGGGGTTTTGTTGTTGTTGTTGTTGTTGTTCCAGCAGCTGACTTTCTAGGATATAGAATTCTTAGGACCAAAGATAATGTCTAATTTTCTTGTTTTAAATAAAATAACATTCATCACTATTTTCATAGGTTCTTAATAGTGAATCCAGGTGTTCTTGGGACAAAACAAACTCTGATTAAAATGAGTATTTTTAATATCTAAGGACTGGCTGAATATATATTTTAGCATTAAAATATGACCAGTCTGCAGATAACCAGGGGGATGCTATAGGCCTCAATGCTATATTCATTTTCCTGAGAACAGATCCCATTGAATTCAATAGAGGACTGACTTTTGAGTAGACATGCATAGGATTGCAGGCATATTCAAGTAACAAGGCCCATTTCTTTCAGCTGTTGTTGTTAGATTTACTTTTAAATATTTTGATAATGGATGGCGTAGTGAAATATGACTGCTCATATACCTGTTTCTGCATTATATACCACATCTAGTTTGGATTCTACATATATGCACGCATACACTTTCACTTTTTTGTCGTTAATTTGTGTCCCACAACTTCTATTTGGGATTTCCCATTTGAGCAATAAGAATTTCTCTATGACACAGCATAATTTGCTAACGTGTGTAAGACTCTCTTGCAAAACTAAATGTTACTACAAATAAAGGGTTTGATCAGCACTGTTCCGTTTCAGTTGGAATTGTACGGAAGTAAGACATGACAGACTAAACCCTTCTGTCTTTTCAGTATCTGGGATCCAAAACTGGTGGCAAAACCCCATTAAAATGCATAGATTGTTTGTCTCCACTGATGTTAAACTATAAATGGATTTTGATGCCTTGCTGGGGGGGCGGTTTCCTTTATGCACAGAAAAGTAGAGAAAAATGTAATGAATACATGTCTTACACCTAGGTAGTTTCTATAAAAAAGAATGAAACACAGCTATTTTTAAACAAACAAACAAACAAACAAACAAACAAACACCTATTTGATACATGGTTTGGCTAATTTTGTGTTGTTTTTGCTACAAACAATGAATCTTGAAAGTTTCTAGAATCAGATTTCTACCTATCCCCAGTCCCTGGATCTAGAATTGTGCAGTTATAGTATATCATCTAGTACACAAACGACCAATATATCTTCCATTCAAGCCCCATTTGAAGCACATGAGAAATGCTTTGTGCATCATCACTTACAACAGCTTAGTAGTCAGGGAATACCTAATTTTCATCTCACTGCATCCATTGAGTCTTGAATTGATTTACTGTGAACAATGCAAGGTCAAAGCTGTGTATCACTTTGAGAAGAGGGAGACGCGCATAGATAATAGAGCTGGGTCTCCCATTAGGCAGAGTGAGGTGGCACTTCAGGCAGCAGATGGCGAGAAAATGGAACATTTGTTAGTTATTCAGAGGACAGATCTATCAGCGCCATATGGCTTGTCATGCCTTTTGGCCTCTCATGCAGCAGAGGGTGCTCTCCTGACACCAGTGTTCAAGTAAGGGTCAGCTGCTTGTCTGGTCAGCTTCTGCACATGGAATGGGTAGAGCAACACCTTGTCCTTCACCTCAGGCAGCAAAGTTTATGGGGCCAGCCCTGGCACAGAAGCAGATTTGGGTGAGTGTCTGCATGGTGATGCTCATCTAAGCCCCATACATGTCTCTATGAGAATAG